GGTGAAGGTACCACCATTCAAAGACGAGAAGAAGGGGAAGGAGCAAGGAAAGGAGACCCAGGGCACAGAATCCACATCGGATTCACTCAATCCGCTACTTTTGGTAAAGGCCAAGAACATAAAAAAAAACAAAACAAGGAGCTACTTTATGAAGAAGGGTGGTTAGGGGCAAGCAGCCGTTCACAAACCACACAGAAAGCGGGCTGCAAGCTGGGTGACGCGGAGGAACAGAACATATTCCCTGCCACCCAAGGGGAACCCTCCGAAACACCTTCCTGGGAATTCAGGGGCGCCCACTGATTTTCTTTGGATTAAGGAATTGGTGAGGCACAAGAGCAGTCCCATCAGCCTTTAATGCTGAAAGCCATTTGATCCCACTCCTGTCCAGCCCACGAACGTGCTGTGTGTGCCATCCATGCAATCCTTTGGGACAGCTGACCTTAGCCCTCTCAGAGGAATGGCAAAGGGCAATTTCTTTTTCCTTTTCAAAAGTGAAGGCAAATGCTAGGAAAGATCTGCCATTTTATAAAGTGCCATCCTCACTGAAAATGACTTCAAAACAGCCTGAACTAGGATCACCTGAACAGCAATATACACTAAACACTTCTATGCACACACACTATAGTGAACTCCTAACCGTCAGCAAAATAACCCATCAGTTCTTGCCCATTTGGGTAATGTTCAGTTTCAGGTTGTTAGTCTTTTTCTCCCATTAGTACTGATCATCTTTTAATGTTTTCAGCTATAGTAAATGAGATTTGAATATATAAACAAACTTGAAACTCATCCAGTTTAGATGCTGATTTAGTGAGAAAATATTTGACCAAACTCAGAATGAATCACTGAGGCCCTTCTTTAAGCAAGGCTCCTCAGATTTTGAACTGGTATTCGGGGGTCTCTGCACCCACCGGCCCTGTGTCCAGCGCCCACTCACTTGGCGCTGGCAGCCTTTTACCTTTTGGGGAGAAATAAAAAGCAGAGGCTTCCCTCCCGTCTCCTTGGTCAGGAAAGTCTGTGAGGATGCCAAGGTTTGGGAACAATCTTAGACTATGAACTACAGAGTAACTTCTGTAAGCCAAGTGTTTATACAGATACTAACTGCAATGTTTCTGTCAGGATTTATAACTTCACAATTTGACGGGAATTGCCTATTTTTGTGATTGTATCTGGCTTTCCCAGCAAGTTAAATAGAAAATTTAGTGTTAAATATTGGACTGAATTTAAACATTGGGCCAAGCGATTATCTGTGCTTCTGGATAATTATAGACAAGGCTTCCCCTATTGTTGTTCCCAAGTAAATGAAGCATAACAGGAAAAAACATTTTTTTTTTTTTACATTGTGCTTTTTTTCCCCAAACAATGAGTGAATGAATGATGTAGAACTGGCAAGATGATTCACTAAAGATATTTTAATTAATCTTATTTTCCTTTAAAAAACAAAGATTGTTAATTCCTAATAGTGCTAACATAAAGCATAAATAGGTACAGTCCTACACTAAATGAAGTTACTTTCCTTTGGTTCCATTTCTCTAGTGACAAGAGCGAACTGGGATGGTACTGATCTTGACGACAGATAAAAGGAAGTATGCATTCTATCAGTTAATGAAAAAACTTTCTTCATTCTAAATGTCTGCCTATAAAACTTCAGAGACATTTAAACACACACAGCACTCAGTTTAATTTTTTCCCATGCAAAGCCCTTTTTGGGTCTTTCTGTTTTGTACTTCCTATTCATTCAGGGTCTAAATAAAGTTCATGGCCAAGCTGCACTGCCTGCGATAAGCAGGATTCAAACAATTACATTCACTGTGCCCTAGGGTCGGTCTATTACCATGGGCAAATATAATATCATTATGAATGCATTCAGAAGTAATCTTTGGCTTAATATGTGTTAACCAAATTCAGGGATGAAATAAAATTTGCATAAATGATAAGGGGAAAATAGGAAAATGAAATGCTGAGCTGCGATGATCTCTCTAGCTTTTCTTCTTCAAAACGCAGAAACTCCTACCGAAAACCTCTTCTTGGTCAAATGGCTGCCTATAGCTTCTAGACTCTTCCATGCAACACAGCTAGGAGTTAAGTCTGAGTACCTTCGCTTGAGAGATAGCTCATTCAATTAAAAAAGCACTTCTTGAGATGATAAAAACAGATGATATAAAGTAAAAAGGGAGCATGGTGCTCATGAAACAGTGTGATCGGCAGAATACCTAGGGATAGGGAGGGGACTGATTTAAACTGAACGCGCACCAATGAGCTAGAAGAGTGTCTGCTGCATCTGTTTGCGAAAGTACCCTTCATCTCACAACTTCTCTTCAAATAGGTGAAAATAAGGGAAGAAATGAAAAGTTCACCTTGTCTAAAGATTCTTTTAAATGAAGACTTCTACACTGGTTTAAGGGTTACCCTCATCAAGTGACCTACACATAAAAAAGGCAGAATCCCCTTCTCCCAAGTCAACTAGAGAACCCAGGGTCGGGAATAGAGCACTGCACTTAACAACACAAGCATAGTATCTTCTTTAAAGTCTGGTAATGAAGCTCATTTGGGAAAGGCATCATTCTTTTTTTTTTTTTAAACCACATTAAAAAAGAAAATGAAATAAAACACAAATAAAAAACCCCACAGTCTTTCCTTGCTCTTCTTAACCACAGGGCTGGAGTCACTTAGAACTCGATACTTCCTTTGGTAATAGTTTCGGGAAATCAACGCTACGACCTCTAATCCATACACATGGTGGGTACTGGCATTTCCCTCCCTGAATCCTTCTTCCTGACTTGCTACTCCCAAGGAAGGGACTCACCACTATGGGCAGCTACAGTATTGTTGTCAGCCCTAAAGTCACGCGCACAGGCTACAGACAGATGTGTCAAGTCAGGACACAAGACTAAGTACAACAGAGAAGAAGCACATGGAGAGGTGTACTTAGGTACTGGTATTACTGTTCTATTTACACAACAACCTATATAAACTAGTTAAACATCAAGTTAATGTCTGCCCAGAGGATATTACAATTTACCAACGTAAAAGATTAAAAACAAGCAGCAACTTTTATATAAAATAAAGACAAATGAAAAAGAAATTGTCAGTAGCATCTATCTCCTCAATGTGTCTGAACCGCACGTTACAAACTAGTCCATTAGTACAGCAGCTTGCTAAAAATTGACTTTGGTTCAAGCTTAGTTTTAAAAAAAAATTAAAAACAAAACAAAACAAAACACATCACACGAAAAAAGGTGGATGGACGTTTGTTAGGTTCCCTGCTTGTAGTTCACTGATTTTAGAGGATTTAGGGAAGGCAAAGGGTAAGAAGAGGAAATTCAGGGTGGTTGTCACCAACTCTGTGGAAGAACACAAGACAGAAAGAACTGAAGAAACCTTTCAGAGGGGCTAGAAACAAGTACGCCCTCTCAGTGTTAACAGAACTCCCCCACCTGAATCCCAAACGGAGCAGCACACACTCTAGCTTGAGAGGAGGGAGAGCGGAGCCTTAGGACTCCAGAGCCTGTAAGGAGCACCCACAGACACCAAGTGGGAGCCTCTGGCTCCAGCAGGTGGGAGCGCACGAGAGCTGCACTGCCAGTGACGCAGGCTCTGGAGAAACTTCTGGTACAGGGAGTACCGGAACAGTACCCCAACACAAATGGGGACTTAACCTGTAAATTACCCTCATTCCTCTTCAACCACTTGCACAAGCTCTCCTATTCAGTGGGCTCATTTCACACAGTTTAGAAACACCCTGAAAACAACAGGAGCGAACGGCTCTCTACACCAACTGGAGAAGTGTGTTGCTATGGAGACCTAACCAGCAGGCACAGAAGGAACATACCAGGAGACACTTGCAGGGTGTGCAAAGTTCCTGCTCAGAGTCTTCTAAGACAGCTCCCACACCCAGCTATCAAGTGTTCCCTCAGAGTCAGAGGGCTGGAGGAGCCGTCTGGTGGAGGGCAGCCCCCTGGAGGAAAAGGTGGAACCCTCTGACTCCTGTCATCACATCTCTTCTGCATATATAATGGACAGAAAATAGTCTAGCAGAATTCCTTTAGAAAATGAAAGAAGGGAAATGTTTCCCAACTCCAATAAATCAATTTGATCTTTGCTGAAGTAAGTTAAAGACGTTTGGATGAAAAACTTCCACAGTACGGAACAAACATACACACATACACACCAACAGTAGGAGCATTTTTTTCAGGAGATAAGAAATCAGGAGAACCACCAAGTCAGGTGTCTGCAGTAGTCTTTGCTCTTCGGAACCAAATCCTGCCCTGCCACAGGCACAGCTGCTCCTGTGGCAAGTAGCAGAAAGCAGCACTGCTGCACCGCAGGATCTGGACCTCAGGGGCATGCAACGATCTGGGGGTGAGTGAGAGCTACAGTTCAGCAGGAATTCCTTCCTACACAAAAGTGTTCCAAAGGCACCACCTGATGGGGGAAGGGGGTGTGCGTGTGGAATGGGAGTGTCTGCACACACTGCCTTCAGCTTCTGCACCAAGCCTCTTGCATAAGTGGCAAAAGAAAATAATTTTCTAGCACCTCTGTAAGAGTCATCAAGGATAAGGAAACCAGCAAGGACATTTCCCGCGGCTAAGAACTTCCGTCTCCCGTTCCCCCAAACCCTCCCTCCCCACAGTGTGGGAGCTCACTGAAACAGGATCCAGGAGCAAGAGACAAACATGTCCAAACTATATATATATACACGTATATATATATATAAAAACAATAACAACAGCAATAAGAGATACAGTAATACAGGCCTGCCTAAATTGTACCAGTTAAGAAAGGAACCCCCAACACAAATGATACGATTATAAACACCTTGTTATGACTTAACGGTCTGTACAACAGACCCATAAAAATGATTTTTTTTTTTAAGAAAAAAAGAAATTTAGACAAACAAGAAATCCCCTTCCTATATTGGAATTGGTAACCCACCTTAACTTGTCATCATGACTGCTGGAAATGATAAGTAGTCCTTCAACTTATATTTTTGTTTGTTTTTGATTATTTTCTGTTTCTGCTTTTTTATTTTTAATTTTTGGTTATAAAGTTCTCCAACCCATGAAGCGATCCTGAAAAGACAGTGTTTCATTACAAAATTAGGCAAATGTTGTTCCGCCTCCACTCTCCTTTCTTCTGGCGTGTGTATTCTCTCTTCTCTCCACTGCCCTCACAGCACGGCGAGAGGAAGCCGATCACATTTTTCAGTTGATTCACTGCTGAATGGAGAAGGCTGGTGGCAGCCCGGCACTGCCCTGCTCACTGTGCCTTGGAGGCGGTGGTGGTGGTGGCAGCTGCCCCACTGGCAGAGGCAGCTGTGAAGAGAGAGTTCTGGATGGACTCAGCTGAGGTTGAGGCGGCGTGAAGGCTGGCAACAGGTGCGGAGTTCCCTGTGGATGCGGCGGCGGAGACCAAGCTAACCGGGTTGCTGGTGAGCAGAGAGAGGTTCTGAGGGTTCAGGAACAGAGGGGCAGTCACGATGTTAGGGGCTCCTCCTGCATTGGCAAATACCAGGTTCCCAGTTGCATCCAGTGACGTTATTGGGAGGGAGCCACCAGAAGCAAGAGCTACAAACAAAAACCCCAAAAAACAGGCAGGAGGGAGAATATTAACATCATCCCAGAGAATCCAAACCCCACAAAGCTCTACTGAATTTTCCTATGCTTCCATGGGGGAAAAGTTGCCCCAGTTACTGCAGTAGCCTGCTGCTAAGCAAAGTTTCTAATTCGGAACAGCCTAAAGGACGGAGAGGTCTAATTCAATTTGATTCATACAGTGACTTTTCTCCAACTGCCTCCCCGAACTACGTAACAGTGAGCATCGTCACGTGCAAAACTTTGTTGGTAAACATGGAAAACTCTTCACTCTACGGAAGAAATGCTATCCTGGATACATGCTAAAGAGTAAAAAATGGACTTGGGGAAAAAAGCACATAATACAAAACAATTTATACTGCACACTGACAGGGCTGTGGGAGGGGCAGACAGGGGTTAGCAGTGCCTCTGGAGTCCACCTGTGTACTCCAGGCTGTGAATTCACTACAGGGGTGGAAATGGGTACTGGAAAATCTTTCTTGGCCTACTCTGCTTTGAGGTAGGGATAAGATGAGCTAAACTTGTCGGGGGAAACAAATCTGCTCCTGGGTTTATTCACATTATTATCAGCACATAAAACCTGATTTTTTATAATGCACCAAACTCAGCATATTCTCTGTTCTTAAAAAACTGACTCTATACTTTCCTTATGAAGCTTTTTCACAAGGACATTTTTTGGACTTCGAGAAAACCTTAATATCAAATTTCCCTATTCTCATCAAATTCACCTGCCGCAAGGCAGGCAGAGACAGAGAGACAGACAGACAGACACACACACACACACACGAGCAGTCTACTGACCTTGAATAGTTGCCAGTGTACTGTTGCTCATCAGAGCTGGGCTGAGAGCACCACCCAGGGTCCCTGGATTGAGACTGAGTAAGGCACCTCTGTAAATGCAAAACAGGGTCAGTGTATTACCAGGCAGACACACTTGTCACTTTGACAACATGCCCAAAGGAATGAGAAAAGTGCAAATCCATCTGGGAGCATGCAAGGAAATCTTCGTTATTTTCCTATATTCTTATATGGTTTGGTTGATGTTTCTGGGATTGGACTCCCCTAATCCATATATACAAACAAGGTTATGGGAATTTCATTGCTACTTTCCTTATCTATGCTTGGGATTTAATGGAGAAAGCACAGAATTCAGAGCTTTCTTCTTCACCTCATCCCTGAGATAATCAATCATCCAGTGTCCTATCTCTTCATGTGGAAATAAAGGTATAGCTATTGCCCCTTCTAGGCAGTCGGAAAATCCAAGTTCAGCTATAAGCGAGGTCCTTGTACTGCCAATTATCCTACCAATTCAAAGACATTATCTCATTAAAGAGGTATTGTTCCATTTCAGATGGTGATGAGACACCCTCTCCTGCCCCGCACTCCTGCCAAGTAATTCCAGGAATGACTCTCTAGTTTCTTAGCTGTGAAGGCAATGAGGAAACCCCTTACCCAGCTGCAAACTGTGAGGGTGCCATCAGGCCTGGGCTTAGTCCTGCAGCAGCAGCCATGGCAGCAAGACTGGCGTTTGCTGGCAATTGTGTAGCTCCTTGGAGGGCGGCAGCTGCTGCCGTTTGCAAGCCTGATGCTGTCACCATCACCTGGCTGGTCCCAAGAGGGGAGGACAGAGGAGCAGAGGTGGTGTGCGTTGTGCTGGTCTCACTGGCACTGGACGCCTCGGAGGTGGAGGCTGAGGCGGAAGGGGAGGGGCTCAGCGAGGGGGAGGTGACTGCCGAGGACGCGGGAGGGGCTGTGGAAATCACGGTGGCCGTGTTGTTAGAGGTTGTGTCTGTAGTGCCTAAAAAGAGAAGTGATTTAGCAAAGGACTTTCTTCAGACAGTTCTGGAAGAACAGTTGCTTTGTCAGTCACACTCCAGAATTAATGGAATAGCTGACTGACCATCCACGATCCTGTGGAAATTAACCACAAAAATAAATATTTTAGAGCAAAAGCTATGAACCCGACTTTAGATAAGAACAAAGCCATAACCATGATAGGAACAAAAAACAGTTTCCCATTGTCAATTTCTTGTCCAAAAGAAATAAAGAAATCCCGAGAGAATCACAGAGGCCCTATTATGGACTACAGCTGGGGAAGAAACATAGCAGCAGAAAAGAGAAAGCTCTGGAAGCTCTTTCTTCTTCATTTAGAAAAATTTCTATTTTCCATGATAACGTTCCATGGGCTCAGGGATTTCCCCTTTATTCCCTTCGGATTACTACAGTAGCACAGTTCCTCTCTGGAAGCTGTTTCTCACTAAGCAATCTCCTTGGTACTCTCCATTGAAAAATCTAAACAAGGGCAATGAGAACTGACCTGCGCATCTTCCTAAGTGTCAACCACACACACACTTTATAGTTACAAATAAACGTGTCTAGATGCCTTCTTCGCATTAAAACATTTACATATTCAGTAATGTAAATTAGCTCTCAAAAAGCCCACTGTGGTAAGCCTTTCCTTATCCATAGGAACAAACAACATAAAATATCAATCTCATAAAAGCATGGAAAATGACCTAAGAAATTTGAGAAATTAAAACAAAATTCAAGAGCCCACTTGAAAAAAAAACTATTTATTTGAAAGGCAGAGTAACAGGAGGAGGAGAGGGCAGACGCCCACTGCCTGAGAACAGCTGCATTTTGATGCCACCCTACTGGACAGGGTTACCAGTTACCAGGAAATGGTCAAAATTACAAAAACAGTTTGTCTAAACTCACTTAATTCACATACCCTACTCTAGGATATAATTAACCATTAAGTAGGACCTAAGTGATATTTTCTTAGCACAGAGCACTCAAATGAGTTTTACATTGTAAATTTACAGGGTAAGCTTTTACTGTAATAATTCTGTGAGGGGTAAAGACTTCCAGATTAATAAAAAATAATTATCTGAAACTTACAAGACATTTGGTACCTTGGGGAAAATTTTAGGAGACAGGAGATGATCTTTCATTTGTCAGTTCCCTTTCCAAACGGCTACAATGGCTGGAGCTGGTCTGGTCTAAAGCCGGAGGCCTGAAGCTTTCCCATGGGAACAGGAACCCGAGCACCTTGGGCCATCCTTCGCTGCTTTATGAGGCGCATTAGCAGGGAGCTGGATGGGAAGTGCAGCAGCTGTGGGCTTAGCTGTTACGCCATGGCCCCAGCTCAGGATAGGATTATGAGGGAGGTGGGAATGACTCAACTCTGATGGTGTTAGAGTCCAAACTCAAGAGTATCACACAGCGCCAGACAACAGTCACTTGAAGGCTGTTCACACATTAGTTCTGCCAGTGGGCTTTGCCTTCCCTCTGTTAGACCTGCCACAGGAGAAGCACTGATGTCACTACTCCAAAAGGGTCGGGGCAGAGCTGACTATGGATGGCTGAGAATTCTAGTGCAAGTGCTAGCAGGCTTAAGTAAAGATTCTCCTCGCCTTGGGAAACAGAGTATAGTCTCCCCTAACTCATATACCCTACAATGCACTCTGGCATTGCTCCATGCATTTGATAGTCAGTCCCGCCACTCAGAGAGGAGACTGCTAAGTCCAAGAAATGCTACAATGGCTGGAAACCCCCTCGGGAACATGACATCAAGAAATGGAGAGTCAGCACTCACAGGAATACCAGAGACACAGACTGCCATTACGGGAGCTGCAGGATGAAGACACTGGATGTCTTCAGCAAATAGTATGCTGCAGAAATGTGCTATTTCATCAAGCCACAGGGGAAAAAAAAATGAAAAGAATTATGACAGAAATGTAAGAGGAAAGAAAAGAAACTTCGTGTAAGAAAGCTGTTATCTGGGGCCCAGAGTCACTCTGGTTCCAGGGTTCCAGTCCAGGTTGCTCCATATCTGATCCCGCTCCCTATAATCTGCATGCGAAAGCAGTGGAAGTTGGCCCAAGTGCTCAGGGCCTGCACTAAGATGGGAAACCTGGATCTGGTTCCAGGCTCCTGAGCTCAATCTGGCCCAGCCCTGGCTACTGTGGCCATTTGGGGAATGAATAAACAAATGAAAGATGTGTCTGCCTTTCAAATAAATAATTTTTTTAAAAGGAAAAGCAATTATTCCAAGAGGACAAAAAATTAAAATTGGGTATGATTTAACATTGGTTAACAAGAGTAAGAAGAAAACCGACAACAATTTTTGTTATCTTGGCTTTGCACAGCAAGTGTTAACTGTCAGACTGCGCCCCTCCCTACAGATTCTTCCCCATGAGCCAGCCCTGCACAGCAGTTTTTAGCAACATACTTCTGATGTATTCATTTCCTACTGTTACGTAGCAAAGTACCCCCAATTCAGGAGAAACCTATCTCAGTTTCTGTGGGTCAGGCCCCAAGATACAGCCCAGCCAAGCCCCCTGCTAAGGCATCACGAGACTGCGGCAAGCATCACTCCATACACATACCACTGAAATCATACAAATCACAGGCATTGTCAATCTAACATGCTGTATCTTACAACTTGCTGGGAAGCTAAAGTTCATTTCATAAGTTACCAGACAACTGGTGCTAAGTGGACAGGAAGCACCCAAGGCAGTACTTTGGGTTGCTAGTGGCCCAACACAGTGCTAATCAGTCACCAACAGGCTGAATGCTATATGCATGTTCAACAGAGGTCTTTAACGTGTGACCTGCAGGCTGCTACAGCACACCAAGGCCGTATGTGTGTGTGTGGAGACATGGTGGAGGTAGTTACTTGGGAACCTTCTTAAATTTTACTGAATATTCTGTGTCTGTTTTAGGTGGAGAAAAGTCTATAGCTTTCAAATTCTCAGCAGTCCAACACTCGAAGAGGCCAAGAACTATAGTTTAAAATAAATAAATATTATGATCTTTTTGAATAACTTGGAAATTTAATTAAAGCTGTTTACTAAATTTCTACCATCCAGTTAGGCCGCAGAGCCAACAAGACATTACGAACTTAAAATAATTTACTAGCAAATAATCTATTCAATGAAACAATTACCCTATGTCCAGTGCATTTTCTGCCACAAAAAACTTGAGGACAATATACATCACTTAAAAAATATTCATATACTTATTTCAAACATAGAGTGAGAGAGAGAGATGGAGAAACCCAGAAACCTCTTATCAACTGGTTCACCTCTCACTCACCCCCCCAAATGGTGACAACAGTGAAAGCTGAGTTAGGCTGAAGCTGAGAACCCCAAGTTCCTTCCGAGTCTTCCCCAGTGGGTGGCAGGGACCCAAATACTTGGGACACCATCTGCTTTTCCAGGTGCATCAGTGGGGGTCTGGATTGGAAATGGCACAGCCAGAAAAAGTCTCAGCACTTAACATGGGATGCTGGTGTTGTAGTGAGGTGCCAACAACAGCCCCCATTAAGTCACTTTAAATGTATTCAGGAAATTTGTTGATTATTTATTCATTTTTAGAATCAGAATGCCAGGCACTGAAATTTCAAAAGGAATACTTAAATCTTTGAGAAGTATATATAACCTTTTAGGTATGACAAATGCATAAATGTAATTCTAATACAGACAGGTAGAGGTGAATTAAACCCCAGGGAAAGTAAAGCATGCTTGTAAGAATGATACACAAACTGCAGTAGCTTTAACAAGATCAGACCAAAAAACTGTAGCCCAAGATGGTGAACACTGCAAGCTGTAGAGACATTCACAAAAGCCTGGACAGAGCCTTCCTGTGCGCCAAGAAAACAAGACTAGAGATGATCAAGTCTCGACTAGAAATAACCATCTGTGAAGTGATGAATTCAGATGTTTTCTACTAATAAAGAAAACCACAGCTACTGCAGGTTTTTAAGCAAAAGGAATTGCATGGAAAAAAAAATTTTTTTGAAATTTAGCTCTGGAGCAGTGCAGAAGATGGATTACCTTGGGGTAGAACAAAACGGATAAGAAAATTCTTAGTTAGAAGTACTTTTCCTGACAAATTCAACTATGCCTACCTTTTTTCAACTTCAGGTAGGCATATGTAACTTTCCAGAAAAGTGTATCTTTACTCAGAGCCTCAATTCACAATTTAATGGCAGCCTCTCTCAGAAGCCTATCGTGGGCAAATCATGTCTGAAGCAGCCTGGCTGCAGCTCACCTGTAACAGGGAGATTGGTGACCGCAGCGCTGGCGAGAGGGAGCACGGGGTTGACGGTGAGGGTGGTCGCTGCACTGCTTGTCACAAGGCTTGGCGTGGTCGCCACCTAGAGGTTGGAAATGAAAGCATGCACAGGGCCATGTTCTCATGCTGTCACAAAACAAACCCTTCAAAATCAAAACTCACACTGCACACCTACTTTACCTAACTAGTTTCTGAAATCCCATGTACAACAAAATAAATAAAATGAAAGGGTCAAAGAGGAAATGATTTTATCATCGCTCTTTGATCTTGGAACTGGGAAACTTGGTATTGTCTATTTTGAAGATGGTTGCTCACTGTTTTGCCCAGATTTTAAAATAAAAAAATACTGCAGTAATGTTGTATCATGTATACTTAAAAGTCCTCAAGAAATGTAGTACCAATTTTAGTGGGAGAAAAGAAACCAAACAAACAGTATGAGAGGACTGGGGAATCTGGAGTTCCTGTACTGCTTTCACTTTTTAGTTCTGTGGATACAGGACTGCCTTGTTTTTGCTTTAATGAAAGGATATTACGGAAAGAACATGAAGAAACATCACAATAACTCAAATTCCTTTGTGAAAATCTATTTCCGTAGTTCTTAAGCAAAATTAGCACAAATAATTAGATCACAAATTAATCACTGCTATCAAAAAACTTATTTAATGATTAGCACATAATCACTATCCCATGAACTTTATGATTAAACATTAAATCATTTAAAATCAACCCTACCTTCTACTTAATAAACTATAACGTGTTTTTAATGCTGGCTGATTTTACTTTGAAAAGCCTTCCAGAGTGGAATAATATCCAGATGAAGTTAAAAACAAATGAACAACCAAGGGACAGAAAAGCACACTCAATCTTCCTGGTCGGTAACATGGAAGTCACACCTGCAGTCATCCTGAACATCACCTAGCCTATTCCTGGACCACCTCCTGCTAGATTCCAATGGAAAGAGCACTACTTACTCAATGAGGTCACATGCGAAGGACCATTTGCTGTTTGAGAATAAGGATTGTAGATGACTGCTTTCATACAGCTTCAGAGACAAAGGTATTTGGGAGCTTTCTTAATCATATATGTATAATCTTAGTAAGTTAGGCTTTAGGCCTCAGGAGGAATACAAAGTAACTCAAAGGTTTTTTTTTGAGATGATGGGAATCAACAGCAACTGTGCTCCATAGCTTCAGAGTAACCTAATCTACCAGAGATGGGAACAGCAGAAATACAACGAAACAGGAAAGAATGTCAAGTATCCATTTTCAAAAACAGAAAACTAATGCTCTTGATTATAAATGAAACTTCATTACCTTGGTGACACATAAAAGTTTACTCAAGGTGCACAAATAATGTTTAAGCTATAAAATAAATTGAGTTAACAGTGTTTGTGTAAAACTGTAAAAACGAGGCACATGCTTGTGGTCTCCACAGTGTTTCCTTACCAGTGAAGTTGGGTTGGGAAAGATTGCTTTGATGGGGGAGCTGCTGGTCCCACCACTGCTGGGTGGGTTGATTCTTTTCTCCTTCTGGCGGCGGTTACAGAACCAAACACGAATCACCTCCTTCTCCATGTTGAGCTGCTCAGCAATCATGCTGATCTCTTCCGAGGTAGGCTTTTGATTCTAAACAGAAATAACAAACAAACAAACAAAAAAACCCAACAGTTTTTGCAGTAACTTTTTAAACTCCTGGTGTAACCATGTCAGTACATAACTGAACAGAGAAAAGTAAGAAATCCCTGTCTTTGGCGCCCGACTCCAGCTTCCTACAGAATCAAGATAAGTTTACTTTAGCGCAAAAATATTTTGAGACCTGTGCATAGTTTTCTTAATGTATATATTTTCCATAAATTTTTTGAAGAGCTTTTGAACCACAATGCCCACCCCTAAAAAGTTAATTTTTACTTGAGAGGCAGGGACAGACAGAAAGAGGAAGAGACAGAGAAACTAGCTCACTTTTCTCAAATGCTCAGAGGTGTCCGAGCAGGGCCAGGTCCAAAGCCGAAGCGGGGAGCTAGGGAACCCAATTACTTGGGTCTGTATTAGGAGAAAGATAGCGTGCCCTAGGCTGTCGATGTCTTAAATAATAGACTAGAAACTCTTCCATTATGTTACTTTTATTTAACAAAGAGCTTCTCAAGATACACATTCTAATGGGCACGACGTTTACTAGTTATTATTAACTTAGAATAGAAGTTATTGGTTATTTACATTTTTCACTTTAAAGGTCTATTGATATAGAATAAAATTAACCAACCACTAACATACCCTATGAATTAGTAGAAATTTAAGTTTTCTTAGCATTTCATGCACTATTTTGCACCTAACCGTAAACATCCGAGGTTGTAAAGGCAGGTGTTTACAAATGAAAAACCCCAGCTTAAAGAAATCCTAAAAAGATCTGCCCAATTACACACTTAATAAGCATCAGAGCTGATAAACACTTCTAATCCAATGCTCAACTGAATGTGCTCAAGACTTTTCTAAATTAGAAAAACCGAAAGTTTCCTGGAAGCTTTGATGACCTGGTGTATTTAAAATGGGAGTGAGCAAGAGCGTGAAACTGTCAAGTGTCCATTAGCTTGAACTTCACAGCCTGACCTTCAAGGTCTCTAGTGTTCTGGTGCTCTGTCCTAAACTACCTTTGTAAGCACTGAGACAATCAAGCAACTATTGTTCTTCCTGATGGTATTGCATGCTCAGCTCCCTGGGCGAAGCTCCTTGCCCCTTCTAGGCTGTGGAATGAATTCCCATGCGTCTTACACCGACTGCTCCCTCCTCACACTGAGTGGTCACCCAGATGTGAGCACAGCAGCCTTGAATTCTGACTCCTATGTCAGTAACTTAGAGCCTTAGCATCAGTACCACACAGACAATTCCACATACATGCAGTTAAAAACCTCACCAACCTCCAAGAAACTCTTCTCTAAGGCCACACGGATGTTGGTCTCTATGCTGGTGCGTTTCTTCCTCCTACGGTTCAAACCCTCAACTCCCTGCCCTGGAGAGTTCAGGGCACTTGGGCTGGAGAGCGCCGAATCCGATGAGAGGTTCTCTGTGAGAATGAAGAAAACACAGAGATAGAATTATCTGAACATAATCATTTGTAATTAATACTGATATTAAGTAAGAAAGTATTTTAAGCTATAAGCAAACAGGAAAAGGTTCTCACATAACCTACAATAGGACATTATTCACCACCATGGGTCTTTCCAGTGTCCTTACTGACGCTCTTCATCCCCAAATGGCTGAATATATTGTTTCCACTGCTCCTGAGAAAGCAGAAATTTACAGTTCCGAGCCTTAGACTCAGATCTCTTTCTCATTCTGTTCTTGTCATTTGCTTTGTTTCCTTATGAACTTTGAAGATAAAAACAAGAAGAGCTTCCTGGAAGTTACTGGATGTGTAATATTGTACATGATCTCCCATGTTATTAGGATAAAAACAAAAGAAATGCTTCTAAATGCCCTACAACTAAAACAGGCTTGAGTTTTTCAATGTGAAAGGAAGCAGGTGGAGCAGACCAGTGCGTCTTCTCTGCAGAATTTTAAACGGCTGTAGACGCCTGGCCTTCACTCTCAGGCACTGAATTCAGCTGTCCAAGGATGAGTGCTTTGGTTTGTCTTTTCCAAAGACCTAAATTTTATTCACATCTGCAATGAGAACCACAGTCGAGGGACTGCTCAGGTTCCTGGGAGCTCTCGCAATCTACGGTGCTAAGGCTTAAAGTACAGCTTCCCAAAAGGAAATCTCAGCACAGATGTGGTAAAATAAGTAGCCCAACTTTTAATATGAAAAACAAAAGGCAGAAATAAGTGCTGTGATAAGTTCCCAAGGAAGAAACAAAAACTTTTTCAAGTTTCACTCAAAACACAGGTCTTCCATCCTCTTTCAGATGCAGTTACGTGTCCTTAGTCCTGGCTCAAATGAGTAATATTTCAGTTAAAACTGACAATAACTTATACTGCGATTATAGAACATCACTTCGAAAATCATGGACCTATTTATTTGAAAGGCAAATAGAGACAGAGATCTTCTATCTTCAGGCTCGCATCTCAAACGCTCAGGACAGCTGGAACTGGCTAAGCCAGAGCAGGGGCTCTGGACTCGCTTACAGCTGGTGGGGACCTGAGGGCTTGAGCATCATCTGCTGCATCAGCAGGATGCTAGAAAGGGAAGCAGAATTGAGATTCAAACTCAGGCACTTGGATAAGGACCTGGGGGTATCCCAGACAGCACCTTCACTGTTCTGTCACTCCTCAAATATGTACCTGAATTAGACAAAGTCATCACTGGCAAGGACTTTCCCAAGATTAGTAAGTTTCAAGGCTCTAGAGTAGCAGTAATACAATACTCCCTCCATCTTTTGACTCCTTTAAAATTCTAATGGACACCAAAGAAATTTCTTATATATGATTTACCTGCATCATTTAGCCACTTCTCTAAAAGTGGCTTTAATTTGCACATGTTCTTGAAGCTGAGGTTCAAGGCTTCAAAGCGAGAGATGGTAGTTTGGCTGAAGTCATTTCCATACAGTTTACCCATAGCGAGCCCGACATCACCCTGCAATGCAGACCAGGAAGTGGGAAGAGAACAGGAGAGTCATCTCAGCAATGCTTCCAGCCTCTGCTCCAGTTACTGCTCTGGACAAAGGATCAATACGTGTTTCATTTCTGGGTCCCACGTAACCTCACCCCTAGAGCTGAGCACAGTATTTCACTGACGACTGGTAGCTCTTGATTACGACCCATAGACTGCATTTTTAACCTCTTCCTGCCATCTTATGTAATAATTTAGATAAAATCTCCATTAAGTCTCAAAAGATAATGCTAATATCCCCTCAAGCTCTTTAATAGATACAATCAAACTGATTTAAGTAAGTTTTAAAAACTGACTTATTTGTATCACCTCCAGGGAAATAACTTCCCAGAAAAGCTTATTTCTGAACTAACCAAACTTCCCATGAATCACTTTAAAAATTAGAAATGATCTGTTGTTCTTCCCCTGCTTCCATGAAGTACTGCTGGAAGCTGTGAAAAATCTATTTTCACTCTTAGTTTGGATTTCAAAGTTGGTTACAAAAAACAGCTATTCTAAAAGACCACTTTTGTAACCATTATAGAGATAAAAATTCACAGTAGAGAAGTTTGACCCATTTAGTCAAACCCTCATGGGCACTCGAAACTTGGTAACCTTACAGCAATGATCCTCTGAATATATTACAAAAGAAATTTTTCTCTGTAAGCCTACAACCTTTGAAATGTACTGTTCTTCCAGCTGAATTGCTTGTTCAAACCAGAAAAAAAAAAATCAAATCTGAAAAATCATTTAATTTACAGGTAACAGAAGCTTATGGAATTTAAATGATTCACCTATTTACTTCAGTTAGTTTAGAGACAAGCCAGAATCGAAAGACAACATTTCTGGTCTGAAGACCCACACAGCCAATACTACTAGGAAACAGCCAACTCCCTCCTCTCTTGGAAACACTTCCTTTCAATTGGATGCCTACACCCCATCCATCCTTTGGATACTGCATTGGTTATTGACAGATACCACCCACAAATGTCTATTTCAATGGCAATAAATCTACACCGAATGCATTAAAATCCCAGTTCCTCAGTGCTACTGGCCCTTCTGAGTGCTCAACGGCCACAAGTGAGTGTTGCTGCTCTATCAGACATCACAAACACAGGAAATCTGCATCACTGCAGAACGTTCATGACAGCTCGCATGACTCCAGTGAACTGCTCAGTGACACAACCAGGAGAGTTGGAGCAGGGCGAAGATGCATTCTATTTATATAAAATATATCTAAAGGTACAAATAGACATGTTAATCTGTATCTATGTGTTTTTTTTTTAACTTATTTGGAATGCAGAGACAGGGAGGAGGAAGAGGGAGGCAGGGCACATGCACACACTAGTTTACTTCACAAATGCCTGCATCGGCCAACATGAAGCCAGGAGTTGGGAAGTCCATTCCAGGCTCCCAAGAGCACTACAGGACCAAGTACTTGGGCTTTCATCCTCTTCCTCTCTCAGGCGTGGCAGGGAGCTGGCCTGGAAGCCTAGAGCAGCCAGGACTCAAATTGGCACCCTTACATGAGATGTGGGCATCCCAAACAGTGGCTAACTTGGTGGGCCACATCATCTGCTCCCATATTTAAATATTCTTACTTAGTCTAATTTCATTTAATAAACAAATATTCTCTCAACATCTTCAGATTTCAAGCACTGCACTTACGCTTTATATACCATAGAAATTCATGCTTTGCTTACTTATCTTGTTTAGGTTATAGCTTTCTAAAAAGTATCTTTGTACTTCTTGATCGTAAGACTTCATACAGGGGCAAGCATTACAGAAAAGAGGATTAAGCTGCTGCTTGAGACACTGGCACAATGCCAGTTCGAGTTTTGGCTGTTCTGCTTCCTACCTAGTTTACTGCTAAGGTGCCTGGGATGGTAGAGGAAGTTAGGCCAAGCACCTGGGTCCCTATTACCCAGGTGGAAGACACGTGAATGGAGTTTTGGGTTCCTGGTTTCAGCACCACCCAGAGCTGGCTGCTGTGGCCACTTGGGGGAAGTTAACCAAGAGACGAAAGATCTTTGTCTTTCTGGTTCTCCTTCTCTGTAAGCCTTTCAAATAAATTTTTCCAATGATTCAGTTTCTTTATCTGAAAGTTAGTTACATAGAGAGGAACAGACAGAAAGGAACAAACCAACAAAAATATCTGCTGGTTTGTTCCCCAGGTGGCTGCAACAGCCAGGAACAGGTCAGGCAACAGCCAAGAGCCAGGAGCTGCTTTGGGTCTCCCAGTCCCCTGTGGTGGCAGAGGTCCAAACACTTGGGCCACCTTCCACTGCCCCTCAGCAGCCACTGGCAGGGAGCTGGATCAGAAGCGGAGCAGCTGGCACACAAACCTGTGCCCACAGAAATGTTGCTGGTGTAGGAGGCAGCCTCATCACTAAACCACAGGATCAGCCCCTCAACCTTTTTTATTTAATTATCACATCATATTAAGTATAAGAAACTATTTCTTTAACTCATGATAGAAATAAAGCTACTGTCATTAACTAACTAGAACAATGGCAATAAATGACAAATCCACCTGTGATTTATGATGTGATTTGATTCACATTTAAATCGTTTTAATTAAATAAAAAGCAAAACGGTCCTCCAGTGAATGTACTAATCATATTAAATTGGTACACACTAGCTCCATGTGCCTCTAAATCGCAATGATCTTGGTCTTTTCCTCATGAAAATAAAAATGTTTTCAGATAACTCATCTGTAACATGAACAATACAATATCCCTCTGGTGCTTTCACAGAGCAAAAGGGAGAAAGGAACCTTTGTCCCTGGGCCTGGGAAAACACAAATACACATGGGATACATGTGTGACACTGTGACCTGCTTCCCAATGACAGTACACACAGCAAGTCACTGCACAAGCAGAAAACAACATTTAATAACACATGCATTTACTTGGGAAACAGGAATTACTTTGGTTCAACAAATAACTTCCACGTCTAACCTCTTTCTCTGTTCATGTATACAAACACAGCCAACTGGACACAAGCAACATTTATATAACTACAATTGAAATACTGACTAAAAAATAAAGACTTAACAGGCTACTTTTCCCATTGTGCACCCATAGTATGTGTTCTGAGCAAACACCACCAAAGTTTCAAAGTCATTTAAATAGTAAATGCCCAGACCAAAATACAAGATAAACTTATAAAGCAGAACACCAGACCACAAGAAAATTCCATTAAATAGAAGGGAAGTGACAGCGAGTGTCTGTAAGCACACCAATAATATAATAGTACTTCAAAAAGTTTGCAGAAAAATGGGATAGGTGGGCCCGGCACAATGGCTCAGCAGCTAAATCCTTGCCTTGTACTCACTATGATCCCCTACGGGATCCCGGCTGCTCCACTGCACATCCAGCTCCCTGCTTGTCACCTGGGAAAGCAACGGAGGACAGCTCAAAGCCTTCGGACCCTGCACCCACACGGGAGACCCAGAAGAAGCTCCTGGGTCCTGGAGTCAGATTGGCTTAGAACTAAAACACTTTATACTTGGATACCTGTTCAAACTACTGAACATCTCCATTCTAGAGAGCCTCTGATGACACTACAAGAATTTAATTTTTGATTAATTTGGACTCTAAATTTTCAACAGATTACTTTATTAATCAGTTTTTAGTGTAACGTTAGAGAATGCCTCTGTCCCAATAACTCTCTCGATCAAAAAAATCAGTTTTTAACAACATATTTATTTGGAAGGTAAAGTTACAGACAGATCGCTCCCTCTCTGATTGTTTATGTACACACACACACACACAGAGAAAGAGAGAAAAAGAGAAAGGGGGAGAGAGGGAGGGCGGGAGAGAGAGAGAGATCTTTCACCTGCTGGCTTACTTGCAAAATGGCTGCAACATCTGGGATAGGGTCAGGGCAAAGTAAGGCACCTGAACTCCATCCTGGTCTACCACATGCTTCGCAAGGACCCAAATATTTGAACCACTTTCTGCTGCCTTTCCAGGTACATTAGTGAGCTGCATAGGAAGTGGAACAGCTGGAACTTGAATGAATGTTTCAATATGGAACTGTGCTGACCCATCCAAATCTGCCAAGAAAGCTATTTTTAAAGAAAACTTTTAAACTTTCCCCAGTCAGCTATAACAGATCTGTCATCTTTACTTTCAACCATACATATGCAGTAATATGTCTAAAGTCAGATGTTCTTCAAATAAAAAGAAAAACCCTTCCTATATCCTCTATCACCAATCTTAAATTCCAAAATTCACTGAGATGTTCTTAGAGGCCTATGTTCAGGAAAAATCTTAGAGACATCAATGTAACAATCAATCATTAGCTTAAATCAGAACATATACAATGATATCGACCCATAAATGCAGAAAACAGCTACTGAAAAGGTAGTTTAGGAGCAGAGGACAAGAGGCCTAGGTCCACCTGGCTCCTCAGAAGCTACTCTGGAGCCGTGAACCTGAACAATGAGGGACACTGAAGATGGATTCCAATGGATTCCACCTACCTGAGTGAATCCAAGCTTGATTCGTCTTTGTTTGAACGTCTTGGCAAACTGCTCCAGCTCCTCAAGGTCACTGGGCTCCTCCAAGCTGGGGGTATCAATTCGCTTTGGTGTTGACTGGCTCTGTGGAAGTGTCTGAATTGGGGTCGCTGCTATTGTGCGTGTCGGGGTTGCTGGCTGCTGAGGAAGGAACAGAAAGGTTCCCACTGCAACGAGGGCCCCGCACCCAACTCGAGGATGACGGAGACCTCAGAACTCCACAGAAGGCACAACACACAATTCAGTGAGAAAAGCAGACTATGAAGTTAAAACCACAGTTAAATATGCCACGCTACAAAAAAAATACTTGACTACAACACAAGAGGAAAAAAATTATATCTGGGCTGCCCAAAGGCCTGAATATATCTGTCTTCTAACAAATCCTTCTTAATTTTTAGGAGCCTGTTTCATAAACATGCCACTTAGGCTACCAAAACAGCAGGGACCGTATCTGTCTTGTTCACCACTATCACATCTCCAATATGTGAAACAATACTATAACAACAGTTTTAGAACATTATTAAATTTATTCTAAGGAGAAAAAGAAATCACTTGTAGTCTAAATAAATTAAGATTTCATTTTTGTGTATTCGTTCAAGTTTTCCCCCAACCCTACTTTTTGAACCTTAATTATGGTATATGTAATAATATCCTGATTTTCTCACTTAATATTTATATTTTAATTTTTTCTATTTTTTTAGTCTTCATAATTATCTTTTTCAAAGGCTAAGGCAACATTATCATTACTTAACTATTTCTTAATTAAAGGGCTTTTAACTCCCCCCCTCCTACTAACACAGATAAGGGAATAATGAAAAAGTTTTTGCACATAGATTAATTTTTCCCATCTATGTAATTAGTTTTGTGAGGCACAAGGGATTGTCTGCTAGCGAATGAACAATTTCATGACTTCTGACACACTTTCATGATATAATGTTGACTTCCTTCACAGGATTCGTGTTCGCAGTTTTAAAAATTGGTTTGCCAGGTGAAAAGAGTAAATGGTATTTCACAGCTGCCTTACTTTGTCTTTCTCAAAGTGAAAATTTCCTCATGTGTCAATCATTACCTGTATTTTCTTGGATATGAATTAGATTTGTCCTTGATCCTTCCATACATTAATGATATCTTTTCTGGCATCCTTAAAGAGCTGATCGAATTTCAAAGCTTAAGACTTTGTTGCATTAATGCAAGTGAATTCTCCAATCTGCTTCTTCTCCTTTTATTTTTCACTGTACATAAGCTTTAAATCCTCATTTAGGTGAACTTCTTTTTTCTTTCTATTATCTTTTGTTTGCTTCAAATCTGAGACATCTTCACCTATTTCTAATTCATAAAATTCCTTTAACAATTGTTAGCTTCTCTGGTGTACTCTTGAATAGTTAACTATTTAAATTCATTATCTGGGAACGTGAAGGCATAGTCTCTTTTCCTTTTTAAAAGGAAACATTAAATTCCATACTATGCAAATACTGTGCTACAGTGTTCGACTCTGCCACAGACCCTGAATAGAACAGACCCTTCTCCTGCGTTTGTGCAGTTGGCAGTGATGCCCGGACTGCATCATAGCAGCTCAACTGAGCCCTGCTGCAAACAGCAGCAAGACAGGGATGGCCACCAGGACTACAGAGAAGCCCAGGGCTGTGATGATTCTCGTAATTTAGACGAGTCATATATCTTTGACCTTGGCCTCATTAGTTAAGACTCTCTCCAAGGAGACCAACTGTCCTAGAAAACTACACAGTAGGCATTACCCAGACAATAAAGTTCATCTCTATGAGATACTGATATGGAGTGATTTTCAATCTGACCATTTTGGAAGAATCAAAAATAGCACCAAACACATTAGAATCCTACATGGCTGTACAATTCCCACAGTGAAACTAGCTGACGAGCAGACAGGCTGGTAAATCTCAACTATTAGATTATTTCATCTCCAGGCTTAATAAACCAGCCCTTCTCTCACAAAATAAAGGACTACACACAGCCTGGGGACCTTCAAGAGGGCTGATTATAGACAAACAGCCCCAACTCCAGAAATGTCAGGCTGAAATGGGCCAGATCTAGAGTAGAGTAGAGTTCAGTGAACACCATCAGGCTGAGGCTACGATAGCCTAACACTGTGTATACAGCGTAGAGGCCAGGAAGGACTCTCCATCCTGCATACTTACAAACTTACCATTTCAGAGAGTACCGTTTAATATGTTTTTGCAGCTATATACAGTCAGAAAACTGGTACCAAAATTGAAAATATGAAGCAGAATCCTCACTCCTCAAAGTCCCCTTTTGTCCCGTGCAGTTAATCCAGTTGTTGGGTACCATTAGCTTCTGGTACCCAACAACTGCTCGTGTATCTATAATGAAAGTACTATCTTATCTAAAATGTCACGTAGTTAAAATACACAATATATAATGTTTTGCATCTCGTGTCTTTCATTATACATCTTGTATGTATCAGAACTACATTTTTCTTAATTTAAAATTTTTTTTTTTTTACTGTGGAATAGCACTCGATCAGATAGATACACCAAAGTTCATGTTATTTAGTCACCAGCTTAAGGACACTTAGGCTGTTTTCAAATAAAGCCGCTATGAATGTTCACATGATTTTCTACTTCTAGGACTAAAATGGGTGCGCTGCAAGGTAACATATATCTTTCCAAGAAACTGCCAAAATACTTTTCAAATTTTCACCAACAATTGGTCTTATCATAGCCTTTTAATTTATCTTAATTCTGGGGATTGTGTAGTGATTTTATTTATATTTCCCTCATGACTACAAGTTTTTGGAACTCATATATCTTCTTCAACAAAGGATTTTTAATATTTTCCCCTCTGTTTCCTTCTGTTTGTCTTACTATTAAGTTGCATGAGTGCTTCAAATGCTTAGATATGAGACTATTCTCAGACATACTTTCTGTGGCTTTTCTTTCTCACGTTCTAGGAGAGAAGCTTTTAATTTTTATGAAATTAAATTTACCTGTTTTTTTTTTCTTTTATGATCAGTGGATTTTTTTGTCCTGTTTCAGAAATTATTGTCTTTACCAAGTACACAAATTTTTTTTTCCTGTTTTCATCTGGAACCTTAGGATATGATTTATTCAATTTATTCTTTGAATATGGTAACAAATAAAAGTCTTTATTGGGGGGAGGGTGCTTATAAAAACCAATTGCTTTAGCTCCATCATTGAAGATTTGCCATTTCCCACTAAAATGGGTGATATTTCTGGAAAATTGGCTGGTTAAATATAGATGGACCTATACTTTATTAAGTTATAATAAGAAATATCTTTATTGATATACTAGTATTACATTTATGGCTCTAATTTTTAAAAGCAACTTCATTTAAGAAATATATAACTTTTACTTATCTTCCACAATTTCAAATATACGGTAGAAACAACATTCAGATTTCTACAAAAACAGTTGCTGGATTTGTGAATCCAGAGATCAATTTCAGAGCAAACATTTCAAATAGCTCTGTTTTCTGATTAATGCCAGAGTTCTCTATTTTTATAGCTCTTAAATTTTACTCAGCAACATTTCATAATTTTTTTTCTAAAGATTTATTTTTTTTTAAATGTGAGAGACAGAGTTACAGAGAGAAAGGAGAGACAAAGAGAGGGGTTCTTCACTTGTTGTCACCCTCCAAATGAATGTAACAGAGAAATGGGCCAGCCTGAAGCTAGGGGAGCTTCTTCTGGGTCTCCGACGTGGTGCAGGGGCTCAGGCACATGGGCTATTTCCAACTACTTTTCTTAAGCACATTATCGGGGACCATGACGGAAGTGGAGCAGCAGGGATCTGAACTCGTGCCCATATGGGATACGGGTGCTAAAAGCTTCCCTCACACCACAGCACCCGTCCTGCCCTATTTTATAAATTTAGTTTGCTGAGCTTATCCCAAAAGGCTGTGAATATTTTTTTCTCAATTTCAATTTAGAAATGGTCATTTGTAGTATATATCATTTTTGAAAACTGACTTCCTGTGCTATATGAGTTTAAACTTATTTATTTCATTAGCTTTCTATACTATCATGTTTTCTACCGGTTAAGTCAGCTTGACTTCTTCCTTCCTGATCTACATGTTCTATATTTCTTTTTCCTGTCTTGTCACACTGTCAGATTCTTCAGTTTAGTGAACAGACACGTTTGACACTGGTCAACCTGCCAGGGTCCACATCTTAGGGCGTCCGTACGGTCTTTCATTATTAAGTATGATCATTTCTTTTTTAATGTTGCACATGCCCTTATCACATCAAGACAATTCCATCCCATTTCATAGTGACAGGAGTTCTTACAACAAACTGTGGGAATTCTGTCAAGCGTAGCAGTGCACTGCTATCCAGTAGTGCAAAGAGGAGGAGGTGGGATTCAGGATCAGCCAGTTCAGATACCAACTTACAAATGAGGCATTGAAAGTTGAGGGAGGTAAAATGACACGCTCAAAATCATGAGTTAGGAAGAAGCAGCTTGAAGCTAGTAATGTAAACCTGTTTTATGACCTGTGCTTTTTCAATGGTCATATGAGTGGTGGAAATGACCTAATGCAATACTAAGTGTGAGAACAAAGAAAGTGGATTCATGAAGATGATAACTTCTTCGCCATTTCTGATAAAGGGCAAAAGGCAATGACAGTTTCAACTGGGGCGCTAGGCTTGCAGTTTCAGTGGTAATAACTTCTGACACCAAAGCACGGCTCATTTGCTGGCAACAGTTATTTCTCATAAACATGTCAGAAAAGGGAGAGTCTTGAAATATTTTCAAAGAATACTTTAACTGCTAGCACTGCTTTATCTGGCTGACAGGATAAGAGAAAGCAAGCCAGCAGAAGCAAGCTGACCTGGGACGTGAGCGTGATGCTTGGCTGCGACGGCAGGAGGCTGGCTTGGCTTTGCTGAGGTAGTTGTGTTAAAAGATTTTGCGCTTGCAGGAGACCTGTAAAATAAAAACACACTATGCCCAAACTGTTCAAGATTACTTTCAAAAGACAGAATAAAAATGAGGTCTAACAATTTCTCATTGATCTCCTGATGCTCTCATTGGTCTCAAAACTCTTGTCTTATCTGCCTAAAATTCAATCATGTTAAATAAAACTCAGGCAAGGAATGGAGCATTAAAGAGAATATGCCTTTGGTGCAGTCTGAATAAGCTCTTTGGAGGCCAATTCTTTATTTTACTAAGGCATGGATCAAAGAAAAGAACAATTCAATATGAAAGCACATTGCAAATTCTAAAAGGAGCTCAGCTTCCTCACCTAGAATTCATTAGACTCTGGACGATGGCTGCCTACTTAACGCAAGGAGCAAGCCACACCTGGAGTGGAAGCTGCCCTTTCCAAGTCCTCTTAATCAAACACTTGTCTTTGATTATACAAAAATAGAAATGCAAAGTATTCTATCTGTACTAATCCTGGAGTTCATAAATGATTACTGGTAAGTAGTCCAGCAATGTTTTCTGACAACAGCAAACACCGAAAAGTTGAAATATGGACCATTGCCATGTTTGCAGTACGTGCCTGGTCAACTATTCAACCCCTTGCCTTTTTAGTTTAAGTATCTTACACACAGAGACCCAATCTAGAATACCTGTTTCTAAAATATTAAATACAGGATTATTTGTATGAGCAATGTTACAAATAATGGAAAACAGCACACCACTCCTACATCATTTTTTTGAAATATGTGATAAAACTATTTGTGAAAACAGATTTCCTCAGGCTTCTAAATTTGAATATATAGAATACTGGAATATGTAGTACAGCAGCAAAACAATTTAAACATGCCAGATATTTTGATTAAGTACTGTATGAATTTAAGTTATTAAAGTATTTTATAATGTAGGCTGCAAATAATATAAACATATTAGGCAGGTTTGAATTTTCTAGGTAACTCTGACTTTTGTTCAACTGAGCAGTAAGTGAAACAGAGCAGTAAATTTGATCAAATTAAATAACTCTTGGTGTGGGGTGGGCTGCAGCTTGGAACACCTGCACACCATATTGGAGTGTTTGTTTTTATCACAGCCTTTCAATTTTGAAAACAACAACAACAAAAAGATTTTCTTTTTTTAAATTTGAAAGGCAGATTTTACAGAGAGAAGGAGAGAGATCTTTCATCTGCTGGCCCACTTTTCAAATGGTTACAACTTGGGGTTGGGCCAGGCCAAACCAGGAGCCAGGAGCTTTTCTGGGTTTCCACATGGGTAGCAGTGGCCCACTGACATTGGCCATTTTGTGCCGTTTCCCAGGCAATCAGCAGGGAGCTGGATCAGAAGGAGGAACTGGGCCTTGAGTGGTTGCCCACATGGAATGCCTGTGCTGAAGAAGGCAGTTTCTATCTGCTAGGGGACAGAACTAGGCCCAGCAACTCTAAAACAGCGCCCTCTAACGCACGTCCGAGGGAAGTCCCTGCCTCCCTTGAGACAGGCTGAAGCACCCCCCAGCTGTTGTGGGTATTTGGGGAGTGAACTAGCAAATAGAAGATCTCCCTTTCTTTCTCTTTCTCTCTGTTGTTCTTTCAAATAAATCAAATTATGAAACAAAAAAACCTGAGTATATGCAATCACAAATTCTCAAAAGAAAGATTTAGAAAATAGAATGACGCTGTAGAGTCTCTATAATTTCAACCTTACAGAATACTTACTTAGAGCAATCTTTTTCACTAAATCACTTTCCAATTAAAATATGCTAATGACACCAAATTATAACTAAGAAAATCTAGGCAGCCTTAGGTTATCTGGCCTCATTTATTTCTCATATTTCATCTCTTAACACGTACTTTCTTTCACTCACTAAATTCCAGCTACCCTGGTCTTGGTTTATTTTTGTCTCCCTGACTAGGTCAAACTCTGCCTCTAAGGTCCAGATCCTTCTGTGGAGCCACACTCATCATCATTCGGGCCCCAGTTCAAATGTCATTGCTCCAGAGAGGATTTTTCACTCCATTAGTTTTTTTTTTTTATCAGATGGCTCTTAATCTACATTTTAGTACTTACTGCTATTTAAACAATTTGTTCACATGTTAACTTCTTGCTATCTCCTAAACAGGGCAGGGCCATTGTCTCATTCAAAATCAATTACCTCCAACACTTAGAGCACTATATCGCATTCAATAGTCACTTAACAAACTGTTCACTGATTGGACAAAAATATTAAATCTAACTGGCTTGAAAAAAAACCTGAAGGGTAGTCCAAGGGAAGAAAAACTATATTTCACATCATTGATAAAACTGAAAATGTTAAAGATTCAAAAGTAATCAAATATAACAAAAAGAGAGAGAGAGATGAGCACAAGCATAAGAAATTAGGTCTCGTCACTAAACACAGGGCACTTCAACATGTGAATTATTTTAAAGTATAAGAAATAGTTTTATTAATTTGTGACAAGAGGAAAAATATTTATTTATTTGAAAACTAGAATGACAGACAGGGAGGAGAGAAATCTTAGCAGTGTTCACTCCCCAAACATCTTAACAGCTGGAACTGGGTCAGGTTAAAGTCAAGAACACGAACTCCATGTTATCTCCCCTGTGCGTGACAGGAACCCAAGCATTTGGCCACTTGTCTGTCGCCTCCTAGGGTGCACGCGAGCAGGCAGCTGGATTGGAAGCAGAGAAACCTGCACTCTAATCTGTATCAGACATGGGTACATGGGCATCCTTAGTAGCAGCTTAAAAAACACTTTGCTAGCATCCACTCAAGGAAGGTTTTTTCAAAACTAATCATATTCAATCAGATATTATAATACCAAAAGGGTCCTTTTGGTTCCCAGTATTATATTTTATGAATAAATTTAAGCCTTAAGTCTTTCTCCCCAAACAAGGTCAGCTGAAAATAGCAAAAGAGCCCACTGAGTTTTAAGAAATCCTTTGTAAGGACCAATCCTTGCCATGTCTTCTTTACCCCAAGTCATTAAAAACAAACAGCAACCTGAAAAGTAAGCTTCCTAACAAAGAACATTTCTTTAATTATTTTCAGGACAAATATAAAGATAAAAAGGGCAAAATAAAATCTGCTGTAACTCATGACTCAAGTTCAGAAATGTATCAAAGAACTCGAAGTAGTATAAAAGTAATTCTGGTAATGCTGGAAAATGGCTTATATTTCTCTTGCTGGAAACTAAATCAATACTGGAAGATTTTTTTTCATGTTGAAAACATTACCAAACTTCAACACATCAAGCCTTTGTTCTCCTTGCCAAGGTCAAAGAAGCACTTTGGATTTTTAGCTTTTCTGGCACATTTAATTACAATGAATTTCACTCCTAAAAACATTTGCCAAGTATTTCCACTCTTTTAATCCTTTACATCACTGAATTATCTTAGAAAATGGGTCATATATTGTTTACAAATGACAACAACTCGGCAGCAGTGGTACAGACAATCTAGATTACTTTCAAATTGGTTCTTTGCTTTCCTTTTACTAAAAAGAACAAACTGAGTGTGTCTTCCTGCTCCGCGTTGATGTGTCTACAACCTACTGACTGATGAAGATACTGAAATCATATTCATGTCATAAGGGGAATAGGAAAGTTTCATAGGCAGCTGTGTATGAAGCTTCTTTTAGAAAGTTGCTTTACTTGTATTCACTCACTCAATCTTTACAGTATTTACACTTAGGTAAATACTGAATGTATATTCCTATTTCTGATTTAGAAACTGAGGCACAGAAAAATTAACATTCCCCAAATGTTTTAGAGTCTATGGTTCTAATGACTCCAGCATAATTATCTTCAGGATTTTACACAATTTACTCACACAAATGAAGTACAAGAAGAGAAATTAAATACGAAAATCCAGTTAAATGATTTGATCAAGGTCACTGACCCTTTAGCCAATCAGTATTTTCTACTCTGTGCTATTTCCAAAATTTTTCTTTTAAAAAGATTTAATTATTTTTATTGGAAAGGCAGAGAGTAAGAGAGACAGAAAGATCTTCTGTCTGCTGGTTCATTCCCAAAGTGGCCACAATGGAGGCAGCTGAGCAAATCCAAGGCCAGGAGACAGGAGCTTTTTCTGGGTCTCCAACATCCATGTAGGATCCCAAGGCCTTGGGCCATCCTATACTTTCTGAGGTCACAAGCAGGGAGCTGGATGAGAAGTGGAGCAGCCAAGACATAAACTACGACCAGTATGGGATTCTAATGCTTACAAGGGAAGGATTTAGCCACTGAGCCATCACACTGGACCCTACTTTCAAGTCTTAAAGAAGTTTGGGGGAAATGCTATGAACTAGAACTACAAATGCCTTTGCAAACTCCCGAATCAGAATAAATAACCATTTGTGTGCCAATTAACTTTCTTGACAATAATTTGACTTTTTTTTTGAGGTCTACTTCTCAAACAGAGATGGGGAGACTGTTCATCTACTGGTAAATTCCTCAAGTGCAGGTAACAGCTAGGGTTGGGAAAGGCTAATGCCAGCAGTCAGTAGTCAGTCCGGGTCTTCTGTGCAGGTGGCAGAGACGTCAGAACTTCAGCCATTTTCTGCTGCCTTCCAAGGTGTGCTCTAGTAGGAAGCTGGAATCGGCAGCAGAGCTGGGATTTGAACCTAGGTACTTCCATATGGAAGCAGGGAGTCCCTTAACTGCCAGTCTCAACTTCCAGGTCAAATGTCAGCCCAAGCTGTTACAACTTTATGAAATAACCTCATAAAGTGAGGTCCCAGATTTGAAAAAAGAATGATACCCTTGGCTTTGCCATAAGTAAATGAAGGTGATCGCATTCGATCTTCAGGCTTTAGTAATGACCAAGTCTAATACACATACTTCAGTCTTGATCTAAGTTTCAAACTATGACATTTCTTCATCCTGCCTTGGACTTCTCTTACACTGGGACTACCATTTTCCATCAGTTTATGATCTCTGAAATCACAATATCTTCCTCTGACTCTATATTGAAAGGGTTCATTAAACCAACACTCTTCCATTAGTCCACATACATTTTCCACAAGGCTCAACAACTCTCATACTTTCCCAAAACCCCAGGAATTACCTGGACGCCTCTTCCTCATCATGAATCGACCATCAGCCACCTAGGCATTTGCCAAGTTGCCTTCTGTTTTCTATGCCCATGATAGCTCAGCTCTTATCAAACCTCAACAGGACTACTGCAATAGTCTCCTAGCCAGTATTATACTCTCCATTGTTAGCCATCCACTTTCCCTTCCTCTGATTCAGCGTTAATTTTCTAAATACAGATTGGGAAACATCACTTTTTCACTGAGATCTATGATTTCATCTACCCTGCAGACTTCCTGAACAGAAGCATCAGCCCATTAACATCAGAATCCCAAAAGTGACGGTTAAACTTCTGGGGGATGGGTTTAGGAACCTATTTTTCTAAGTTGTAGATCTAAGGTCAAACTCACAGAAATTTCAGGTAAGGTTTTTTTTTTCCTTTTAATGATCTGATTTCTGCCAAGTCTTTTGCACCTCATCAGAGTGTAGCTTACTGATTCTCCTTCCATGTCTCTGAGCTTCATGGGTATTGTTCATTTTCTAAGACTGACAGTCTCCGTTTTGTAAGTGTGTAGATGCATCCTCCCAAATGTGCCTAGGAGGCATCTCTGATCACAAAGGTCTTGGCTACCACAGAATTCTGTGTCTGTCAACCAACACTGATGGCAGGTCTTTCTCTGCTTCTAAACTGAACTCAGAGGGAAAACTGACTTGGTTATCTTTTAGTCTTTTTTAACTTTTTCCATTTTTTTATTATATTTTTGGCAATCTTTACATAGTTAATTAGGGTAAAAAGGTTCAAGGGCTACAGGAAAGTGGGTAAGACTATTATTTCCACATTGTTTCCTTCATGTATCTGAGGTAAAGGGGGATATTAAGGGAGAAGCCCCACCCAGTCTCCCACCCACCCCAGGTCCCTGATGTGGGGCATGCTCCGAGGGTCCTGCTCAAGTGGTTTTGATAACAGTTATGAACCACTGTCATTCTCACCACTGCAAGCACAATGAGGTTGTTGAAGAATCCACTGATTGACACAGTTCATCTTAGAGTCTCCGTCTGCCCAGTTTTTCACTGCCAACACATGGCTGAGGTGGTTGGTTGACTTGTTCTGTCCTCTGTCTTTTCATGGTTAGGGTTCTGAGTCTGGCAGTTCGAGTGGGGAAATTCCAAAAGAAACTTTGTCTGAGGTGTTCCCAGACCAGATTCTTTTATCTTTTAGTTTTGAACATATGTGCCATACAGTATGCATTTAGACAACAGAAGATTTTGGAATGAATGATCTTGGGAGAAAAGGCAAAAATAAAAACAAACCCCCCCAAATTATTTAGAACTGATAGACATAGGGCCCAGTGTGATATCCTAGTGACTAAAATCCACATCCCGCAACCGCTTGTATCCCATATGGGCGCCAGTTAATATCCTGGCTGCTCCATTTCCCATCCAGCTCCCTGCTTTTGGCATGGGAAAGCAGCAGAGGATGACGCAAAGCCTTGGAATCCTGCACCTGTGTGGGAGACTCATAGGAGGCTCCTGGCTCCTGGTGTCAGACAGGCTCAGCTCTGGCTGTTGTGGCTACTTGGGGAGGGAGCCAGTGGACAAAAGATTTCTGTATCTCCATCTATAAATCTGCCTTTACAAAATAAATAATTTAAAAAAAAAATGGTAGGTGTAAACCAATGCATAATTCAGACACTTGCTGAATTGATTTAATTAATCAATCTTATAAATATGATCAAACCTTATTGAGACAGAAATTAATTTATGGCAACGATTTTTATAATCCACGAATCCACAAAGTTTCTAATACACTAACACCCTCTCTTCTCAAACTTTTTTTTAAAAGGGAGTCTCAGAATTATACCCTTTCAGTGCTCAGTCAATACTCTTTGAATATATTCCCATGACAAACTGTCAAAGCACTAAAAGCCACTTAGCCATTTTATGTTTAGCATTTTGAATGACTTAGACTTTTAGGCAAACTCTTGGTTCTACTATAGCCATTAAATGTGAAGTGCAACCTCAATAATGTAGTATATACAGGAAAAATATTTTTCTTGCTATAAACAGTTTAATTTCAATGAAATAGGCTTGAATTAGAACATTATTCTAAGGGGTGGTTGTAGGGCTTAAATGATACCAGTTGCTCTGTGAGTTCCCTCAAGGGGACAGTGTGTACACCACTAGTCAATTGCTGAGAAGCTCACCCTGCTGGCCCTGGGGCGTCTGTGAGATGATGAACTGTGCTGGTTGCAAGTTGGTTGTCGGATGTACCAACACAAACTGCTGCAGGTTGAGATTCTGCTGCTGTAGTTGTTGTAGTTGTTGAAGATCCTGAAAAACCAGAATTAAAACAGAGATTGGAGTTTCTGAAGTATAAACTTGTTTGGTTGTAGCTGATGACTTCTGTCAGATCTACATGAAGAAGAGTCAGTTACCTAGCATCGCTCATATCTCCACAGAGGTTGTGTGCTCTGGGTGTGCTGATAAAGCCAGCAAAGAAATAAGGAACCTGTGCAAGGACACACCACTAGTATAGGCACGAATTAATGTTAGGCCTAATTGTCAAAAATCGTTTAAAATTTCCTCTGAACAAATGGCTAGTGTTCTGTTTTTAAACATACACTGTGGGCTTTAAAAATCATGCAAGGAAAGTTTTAAAGTATTTGGTTGAGTTTTCTCTTGTTAGGTAAAACTTCAGAGAGCCATATCTGAATTTCTGTATAAATTTCATATATAAATTATAAATTTCATGTATAAATTATAAGAATGTCAATGATTCATGAAATTTGACACTATCTTACCCAAATCAACTGAGAAATCAAATTATTTAAAAAGAATAGCTGGGCCAGAGTTACATCTCAGAATGTTCAGCCCCTGTTTGTAATGGTGGCGTCCTGTATCAGAGTACCAGTTGGAGTCTCTGTTCCTTTGCTTTGGATCCAGCCTGAGAAAGCAGTGAATGGCCCTAGTGCTGGGGCTGCTGGATTTGGTCTGGCCTGACCAACAATGGTGGCTATTTGGGGAGTGAACTGTGGATGCAAGATCTCTCTGTCTGTTTCTCCTATCCTTGCCTTCCAATCAGATAACTCTTAAAAAAGTTAACCATATATAAGTCTGATTCATAACACACAAATAGCACTTTATTTGCATTGGATTAGTGTTTTATAACTTAAGTGTTTTTATGTCCATTGTCTTATTTTGACAATGTTAATATATACAGGCCTCACCACTCAGGTATTAAAGACATTTATTTGGCAATAAAGTGAGTGACCAAATGAAAACATGATCTTGATAAAGATTGTATTCTTTATACTTTTCTCTTGAAATGTCTAGTTATAATTTAAGTCCATTTCTGCCTTTGTAAGGGAGAAACAATTGTTTACCAATAGACACACAATCTCTCTTCATATATTTTACTGACATAACGATACTTTTTTTGACTTAAGAGACTTTTCTCACGAGTATTTTCTTCTGTGGTGTTATTGTCTATGCCTCTTAAACACATTTTTGTTATCTCTAGAAATTCTGACCTAAAAAGTGGAAGTCAAAACCAGCAGCATTCTAGCGCACTTCCGGGCAATGCGAATCCCGCTGAGGCAGAGCTGGCTTGCAGTGTGTCTCCCGCCCGGTGGCAATACTCACTGCCGAGTACATCAAGATGTACATGCCTGCTGCAATTAGCTAATTAAGATAAATACAGTAATCCCCTGCTTCAGAAATATGCCAACTAATTACTCAAGAACTGTCACTTAATATAAACAGTATTCAAGTAATCAAATCAGCTATGTGTTTCTAATGTCAACTTGAACAAGCAAGCAAATGTGTTCTTTCCAATTCAATGGTAAAGGAGGATACCATTTACCTCGTGATCTAGAGCACCTCTGCTTTCAATGGCTTACAGAAACAATCAGAAAGTTAGCATGATATGAAATAAAACCTGCCCTCCCGTTCCTGCAGGGTGCCTCACTCACCTGGGCGATCTGGATGGGCTGCGAGAGGGGGATCTGCGTCATGGGCGTGGCGGCGGAGGCGGAGATGGTGGCCCCAGCAGCACTGTGCTGTTGGCTGGCAGAATGCTGCTGCACTGCAGCAGCCAGCAGCTGAGCCTGGGCCTGGGCCTGCTGCAGCAGTAGCTGTTGCTGGGCTGGCGTCAAAGTGAGCTAAACAAAATCAGAATAATAGGAAAGGGTTGAAGGAGAAGGGCCTAGGGCAAGCCAACTGCTTTGAAATAGGTAGTCCAAGTGGTACTAGACACCAACTAGCCAATAGAGCATTAAAATTAAAATGTTGCTCCTAACTCTGGCCTTAAACAATCATTCATGCTTGACCAAGGCCCTATGTTTCAGGCAAAAAAAAAAAAAAAAAGTAATTAACTAGTGAGCAAAGGGCGGGGGTGGGGAAGGAATCAATGCTGACAGGATATGAAAAGAAACTTACACTCAACAGGAAAGCAAGTGATTAGGCAGATGAATGAGAAGCAAGGATGCTGGATATGACCATGGAAAGAACTGATAAGGCCCAGCTACTTCCCACTAGTGGGCATCACTGTCATATTCTATTATTTCCATATATCCTAAGCCATGTCTAAGGAAAACTGAAGTCCATTTGTTTGTTTTCCAAGTCTCCCTGCAGGCCTTTCCTTAACGCAGTCATTTCTGATATTGAAAGAATTGAGACTGCAACTTTACATCCCCTTTGCCAACATTATCTCCACTGAACAGGTGGTGACAGCCACTCTCTTCACATGCAAATGAATCCTAATGCCCAGGTTTAATACAAGCCCCAGAATCTGCCAGCTCAAGTGCCTGTAACTACTGTACACTACTTACCATAACAGGAAAAAAAATTCCCTAAAGATTCAACAGGAGAGGCATTCACAATAGACTTGAACTTGCTTTCATAATACAACCTATTTCAAATAAAATTCTATCAAGGTAACAAGTGTATCCTATCATTCTTTTGGTGATACATTTTGACCAAACAAGAGGTATCATATAATACTCGGAGGCAGAAACTTGATGGCACAACCCTCCAACGTAAAAGGATCCACCACAGTTTGCATGAGAAATACAGGAATCAAAATGAAACCATTTAATACCCTTCAAGACATATGTACACATTATTTTTATATAGTATATACAGACATATACTAATCGCTGTGGATGGCATTTTATAAACTATTTTGAAACGGCTTTCCATGGTCAAAATTTATTTAACCACAATGAAGAAAACAGAATAGAGATGTGAACTGAGTAACTCTTTCCTTAGCATGTCCCAAAGCCCCACTAAAAGGATGATTTAAGAAATCAGTCTTTAACAGTGGAAAAATCTTTTGAACGATGTCTTACAGCAAAAATAGCTGAAAAGTCAAAAACTAAACATGGTTATCAATGTGAATGATTACCAATTAAAACACACGGAAGTATCGAATGCTGAATGCTAAGCATTTTCTTATAAGCTTTAATACATCTGTAAACTTCACAACAGCACTGTGAAATGGCCACAGTAACAGCTGCAGTTTAAAGAAGGGAAACTGAGACACAGGGTAATCCAGAAGGGAAATCCATATGTACTTCTATATTAAATTCCAGAGCCAGGATGTGAGACCACGCTTTATTTCCGAGCATTACATAGTGACGTAGAGAGAATGCTCCTCTTTTGTAGTACTAAATTTATTCTGTAACTTCTATCTTGCAACAGTGTCATAACGTCACATCAACAATCATTTCATCAGTTTAACTGTCTCAATCACATGATAATGACTCCTCCGCATGATGAAGTAGTAACTCAAATGTGGATTCTGAAGAGTCCTTAGTTTATATTAATAAGCTTATGATGGATAAATTGGAAAAATGTTTTTTTCCCACATCAATAAAGTAAAAATCACCAGGGCAGACGCAGGCTGCTGTGCCCTCCTCACTCACTGCTCTTTCCACAAGAGTAACTACTGTCTCCAATTGGACATTTATCATTTCCATCAACTTGCTTCCTGTCTGTTACAGATGAATCTTGAAAACAAAATTTTCTCCCAAAAATTTTTTAAAAAATTAAATATTAAAAAGAAAAAAGAAAAATTTAAGAAAAGTCCTTAGTTTATCCAGAACATATGAAACCATATAAAAGATGTCCTGAAAACTCAAAACTAAGACAATTTGTTTTCCATGTTTGTAGAATGCAGAAAGTTCCTTGAGGGCACTGCCAACTATGGTGAGCTGTTCTGACACACAGATAGTTGATCACAACCCTCTTGGCAAAAACTTACCCCGGTTATCTGTCCTCCAGCCAGCATAAGCTGGGTCTGGGGAATGGTTGTCTGCACTGAAGGCTGCTGGGAAGGCTGGCTTGGCTGCTGGGAATCCCCCGATTCTTCATTAGATTTGGACTTGGGTGGGGTGGGAGAGGAAACAAAATATTTCAATAGCTGATTACAAGAAATTCTCTTGTCATTTTATATTTTAAGAATGATTTGAAATGGAGGGGTGGGCTTCTGACTAACAGAATGCTGGTCAGGACGCCCAGGGCCCACACTGGGTTGCCTGTGTTTGAGACGCAGCTCTGGCTCCTGGGCACAGCGTCTACTAATGTTGACTGTGGTAACCAGTGGTGACAACTCAAGTAGCTGGGTCCTACCACCCACATGCGAAATTTGGCTTGAGCTTTGTCTACCAGCCTCAGCCCTCTGGTATTTTAACAAGCATTTGGAGAACAACCCATAGAGGGAAGCTCTGTGTTTTCAAATAAATAAACAGAAATTCAACACAAACAGCTCATTTGATTATGAGTTTTCTGGTTTCTCTCCTTTCTTCTAAGTCCTTGTATTTTCCTCAGAACTTGCGTGTTAGGCTTTTAGACTTTTGATTTCAGTACTATCAAAGTTGAAGCAAAGTTGACAAGAAAAAAAATGAGTTGTTCCTCTATAAATGAACAGAATTTTTTTCACAACCCCAAATCCTTACCTTTGGAAATAAGAAACAAGAAAGAGTGGAGAAAAGAATACATTTGACTCTAACTCTGTACCTGACTATCCATACCAACATGTTGGCACGGCCTGGTTGTCAGTCTGAAATTTCTTTATGTGTCGTCTCAGAGACCAATTACTAAACCCACAGAATCCTTCATCTAATATTTTAAAGAACTGTGAACCTAACAAATCTACCATGAAGTAACATATTAAGCTTGAAGGAAAACACTGCAGTTAAGAGAGAAAGAGAAAATATTCCTAAAAGAGGCACAGAGAGAAAATTTAATGGTAATTAAAACTGGTTATGCAGAGTATTAAAATTCTGCATAGATTTGCATATTTCCCTCCACCTGTTTTGGGGACTGCAGCAAGGCTAATTAACATAAAAGCTCTGATTAATTCTGCCAGTCATTGAAAGATAATTACAGTGCAGGACTGTAAACATTTTGCACTGGAGATACAGCCTGTTTGCCAACATCTCTCTAAGGGATGAAAGTTTACCATGGCAACCAAGGCAATTTTCTGCCTTTTCTACCTCAGAAAGGAAGGTCACATTATCTCCTTTCTTTTTTCTCCTTGTTTCCATGTGTTACCAGTTCCATACTCCACCGGGTTTCAGGGAATACTCCACCCAGACTAGCAACACTGAAATCAATCTTCCAGAACACTGCTTTCCCTCTGTATGTTAGGTACCTATGTGCTATAATGAAAATAGCAGGTTGAAGGAGATGTTATGGACTAAAGTGCAACGTCTGAATTTTGTATACTGCATCATATAGCTCACACAAGCAAACCAGTAGCCTCACCTAATTTTCATTTTAATTTTGACTATATCCAACAATGTTTACAAAAAGGTTTAATTGCAATTTTTAGAAGTATAACATAATACAGCAGAAAAGAACCCTGAAAATCTTTGCTATGCCTCTACTTAAATACAGAATGGAAAACACAGAGCCCTAGGAAGTTTACTGATTTGCCAAAGGTCACACAACTAATACTGAAAAATCTAACCTGGGGCTGATACAGTGGCATAGCACTCTAATCCTCCACATGTGATCCGGCATCCCATATGACTGCTGGTTCTAGTCCCAGCTGCTCCACTTCTGATTCAGCTCTCTGCTTATGGCCTCAGAAAGCAGTGGAAGATGGCCCAAGTACTTGGGTCCTTGTACCCTGGTGGAGACCTGGAAGGCGCTCCTGGCTCCCAGCTTTGAACCAGCCCAGCTCTGACCTTTGTGGCTCTTTGGGGAATGAAACAACAGACGGAAGAACTCTCTCCCTCCTGCTGTCTCTGCCTCTTTGTAACATTAAGTTTCAAGCAAAATATCTTTAAAAAAAAAAAAACCCAGAAAATTCTAACCTAAGAGCCATTTTTCTGCTAATCCAGTGTCTTTCTTCTGTACTATGTTTCCCTAAGACATGAAAAATGATAAAAGATCCTTGGAAAACTAGCAGGCATTTACGAGATTTGACTTTGTGTTTAGGTATGTGTTAGAGCTGTTACAGACCTCAGAATCATTTGTACTGAACGCCAGACATAAAACTTTGAAAACAAAGTTGGTTCATACACAGTATCAGAACATAAAATTCATTTCTATTAATAAAAATAATTATCATTATTCAGATATTTATGGGATTCAGTTTACTGACAAGAATCACACTCCTAAGGATTTCTTGTTATAAAATTTTGATTATATAAAATTAGAAAAACACGAAGGTTGTAAATTAAAACCTGACCTATAATCCCACATCCCAGCTTACCTGTACATTTAAAGACTGAGCAGCGGCCTGTAAACTCGTTCCAGCAAGCTGGACCTACAAGTAAAGTAATCAGGGTAAGTTCTAGTCTAGTACTGTTCATGTTCAGAGTTGCCATTTACAAATATTTTAAGTCTCTAGTAAATGTATGTCACTGATCTAGAAATGAGAATACAAAGAGTTTTATCTAATGAGGTTAAAACTTTATGAACAAAGGCCTGGCCTGGTAGCCTAGTGGCTAAATCCTCGCCTTGCAAGAGCTGGGATCCCACGTGGACACTGGCTTATGTCCTGGCTGCTCCACTTCCCATTTGGTTCTCTACTTGTGGCCTGGGAAAGCAGAAGGGGATGGCTGAAAACCTTGGGACCCACACCCATGTGGGAGACCCAGAGCAGGCTCCTGGCTCCTGATCAGCTCAACTCTGGCCATTGCGGCTACTTAGGGAGTGAATTGGCGAACAGAAGATCTTTCCCCCTCTCTCTCTGTAAATCTGCCTTTCAAATAAAAACTAAGTAAATTAAAAACAAAAACAAACAAACAAAAAACCTTTACAGACAAGCTCTCAGTTTGTTCCTCTACTCACACTCAAAAAGCTATTATTTTTTCCTGAAGATGTTTTCCCACACTGAAGGAGCACACTGCATTGTGTGGGATGGTCTTATGGCACATTCTGTTTGCATTCAGATTGTTTAAACTCCAAAATCTTCATTCACCTTCTACACTGTTAAAGAACACATACAAAGAAACTATCCACATACACTACTTTCATCACTACAAGCAATGAAGAACTATTTATTTTTATTTCAAAATCTCCATTTATGCACTAGAGTAGAAGCTTTACGGATATATACACACACCTAGCATTCAAAGTCTTCAAAACACTTACCATCACAGCTTTAAATTTCTGGCTGAAAAATCTGGTACATAAAGCACACATGAAAGTGTGTCATGATATTTAACACTCACCTTTCAAAAGTTCAGACAGCTCAAATTATGGTTATGTTAAAATAAGGACACACTTGAAACAACAAAAACATCACTGGCAACTCGGATAACTCACAAGAGGCATCTGTGGATAACAACACCCAACTCTGTCTCCACAGGTAATTATTAATTACAGGGGTGAAACAGAAATTTTACCAAGGGGGGCCTGGCAGACAAGTGCTACTTGACCAAAAGTGTAGAAATAATTTTGATGAAACATAAAACAAACTCAAATTGAGGAACAATATAAATTACTGGTTCGTATCTTCAAAACTATCAATATAGTCCCAAGAAAAAAGAAAGACTGAGAAGGAAGAATGATGGTGAACTTAAATTACTATGGTGGAAAAAGTGGGAAGAAACAGTGGAAAACATGAAAGGCATTATAATATGCTACCTAAGGATACTGGCAACTGATCATATTCAGATGAAGAAGCCCAGATCATTCCAGGTTCCTATCTAGGAAACTGCAAAAAGGCAACATCATTACTAGGAGTTAATAAACTCCATTCTGTATATGTCATAAATCATCAACATTTCACCCAACTTCAATATAAGAGTTGGCATGGAGTTCTTTAGTAGCTCGGTCAGCTGTTAACAGTGAAATTATGTTAGGTACCTGTATGCTATAATGAAAATAGCAGGTGGAAAGAACATTATGGAATAATGCTCAACACCTGGACTTTATATATTTGGTCATAGGTTTCACAGAAGCAAAGTGGCTTCACTTAAATTTCACTTTAATTCTGACTGTGAACCCAATTCACAGGACTGGGCATTGTGCTGTGAAAGAATGAACGCATAGCACAGTGTCAGCTCAAGTTCCAGCTTCTCCGCTTCCAAACCAGCTTCCAGCTATTGTGCCTGGGAAGGGAAGTTTATGACAGTCATGGTGCTCAAAGCCCTGCCACCTGTGTGGGTGACCGAGCTGCAGTTCTGGCCTTCAGCTTCAATTAGTTCCAGGGGTTGTGCCCATTTGGGGAGTAAGCCAGAGGATGGACGTTCTGTCTCTTTCCCCTTCCCACAATATTCTGGCTCTCTGCCTATCAAATAAATCTTTTAAAAAACATTTTAATAAGTAAATGGTCAAAATGTCTAACTCACTTAAAATGATACGAAAAAATAGGAGTTTATATGTGTGTCAACATCTGTGAGCACATGTGCACATGAACATACACACAAAGCAAAGATGGCACTTGGCAACAATTTTTTAATCCAGGGAAAGACTTTTTAGACAGACCCACTGTTCAGCAGATTTGGAAGCTCTGAAAATGAAAAGTTAAAAACAAAAATCAGAGCATCCTTGTACCACTCTCTTTTGCTTTATCCAACCTTAAGATAGCTCAGAAAATACCCACAGTAGGAAGTGTTGGTTTTACAGACTGAACTAATCATTTCTTCTTCAGTATCCCCACGCCATTTTGCCATTCACCCACCTCTTGTTTATCCAACAAACAATCACTGAAAGCCTTTTGTATTTTGAGCTCATTGGCAAATATTGGGGATATAGGTAAACAAAACAAAAACAAAATGTTCCCATCTTTGTGAAACTTATTAAGCAGCAACAAATCTAAAACTATTTTATGTATGTACACATAAAAATTTATCTTTATGTTGAAGCAAAGTTCAGTGGCTATTAAGGCAGCTGTTACTGAGGCATCGAATCAAGCATAATTTTTGAGGGGTTTGTGTGTTGAAGCAGCTTTCCAACCGCAGTCCTTGGCTTTGGGTGCTATTGCAATGCTGGTCATCAGGGATCTAGGGGCTGTGAACTGGCACAGGAAGAGTTTAGAATCTGGACACAGAAGTTCAAGGATTCTTTTAATGCAGTTGGGCCACCACAGACTTCGGCCAAAGATGCTACTGTGTGTTGTGTGACTATGTGCCATTCCTCTTAGGTAACCAGAAAACCACTTGGAGGAAAGAAGTTTTTGGAAGTAAAAAGTTTTTAGAAGAAAATCAACATGAGAATATATATGTTTTTCTCAAATACATTTCTAAATTCACTTCAGATACAAGTCCATCTGGATATTTTATTTTAAAAAGTTACATGTAAAAGCTTCTCCATCTCAGTTATAGCCCTCCACTGCTTAGCATGTTCCAAGACTCTCAGTGGATAGATGAAATCATGGACAATAATGAGTTCAGTGTATACCATGGATTTTGCCACTCAAATATAACCTATGTTAGTTTATAAATTAGGAACATTAAGTGATTAAAACAATAATAAAACAGAACTTAATATAATAAAAGTTGCTTAAGGTTTATGAATTATTAATTTCTAGAACTTTCAATTTAATATTTTTGGTCTAGGTTGAACACACCTAACTATAATCATGGAAAGCAAAACCATAAATGAAAAAAAGATTGTATTACAATATAGACAAAGTCATGTTTCTGAGCAAAAATCTATCACTAGGCCTCATTATACGGCAAGTGCTGCCTATGTGGCACCCCTTTGAACTAACTCATGGACAAGTAAGTGTGCTTTTCAAGATTTACATATTCAATTTTTTGTTTTTTAAAGATTTATTTTCATTTATTGGAAAGTCAGATACACAGAGAGGAGGAGAGACAGAGAGGAAGATCTTCCGTTCAATGATTCACTCCCCTAGTGATTGCTACGGTCGGTACTGATCTGATCTGAAGCCAGGAGCCAGGAACTTCTTCTGGGTCTCCCACACAGGTGCAGGGTCCCAAGGTTTTGGGCCGTCCTCGACTGCCACAAGCAGGGAGCTGGAAGGGAAGTGTAGCTGCCAGAATTAGAACCGGTGCCCACATGGGATCCCGGCACGTTCAAGGCAAGGACTTTAGCCGTTAGGCCACACTGCCGGGCCCTACATGTTGAATTTTATAATTTTTTTTAAAGGTCTTCAAAAATAAAAAGCTATATTTATTTTTGTTAAAGAAGGATACACACAGAGAAAGATCTTCTGTCCACTGGCTTACCCTGCAAGTGGCTGTAACTGCTACAGCTGAGATTATCTGAAGCCAGGAGCCCGCAGCTTCTGCTGGGTCTCCCATGTGAGTGCAGGTGACCAAGGCTTTGAGCCACCTTCTGATGCTTTCCCCAGGCCACAAGCAGAGAGCTGGACGGGAAGTGGAGCATCTGGAACATGAACTGGTATCCATATAGGATACTGGTTTGTGCAAGGCAAGGATTTAGCCACTGAGCTATTGTGCTGGGCCCAGGAGCTTCTTTTATAGTTTAGGCAGTTGCAGACATATTTGACGGAAAGACTAAAGTTTTATGACATATTCACTTATAGTAACTTGAATCCACAGCCTCACTTAAGAGTCAGGAAGAAAACCATACGGCTTAAGGGTGAAAAAGTTGAGGTAGATCTGTTTGAATCCCATAATGGAGCTTGACATTCAGGCAACAAACTCTTAGTCGCTGCCCAAATCGAAAGTCTCAAACTGTTCTGAAGGAAGGTTATGAGTTTTGAGTTGACAGCCATCTGCAGCGGGTCATAGGCAATGGCGGCTACATCATTTTAGATGATTGCAGTAATTGACCACCTTCAGTTTGTTGCTCATGTGTATAAAAACTATTACACACATTCCATTTAAAAGGAATTCCTTTTTTTTTTTTTCTCTACAGAGTTGTGGGGTCAAGGACTCTTCAGTTAACAAATTATAGGGTGACACACTAACCACCTGAGGATGCAAGCAGTTGTGATGAACACCAGGCTTTAAGGAATTGTAGAAGTCTAGCATGCTGAAATAACTTCCTCAAGCCATAGCATTCAATGCCGCCATCCTTTGGCTCTCGCTTAAGGTTAAGCAGAACATTCTACCTGATGGAGATGTCCAAGGAAAGCCTGGGCCTGCGCTGTTGAGATTGCACTTCCCACAGGCACTGGCTGCTTCTCAAAGTCCAGGCCATTGGTTTGCGTGCCTAAAAAGCAAGCAAAGTAATTGGAACTGTTAAGACAAATCAAAGCAAATAAAATAAAATAATAAACTTTAAATCACCGGGCATTTATTTCAAATCAGCACTTTCCAAGTGCCTTCACAGAAGAGCAGCGATTTAAAAGACAGCGAAAACAGTAAACGGCTGTTCTAAGGGCAGGATAGCAGGGTGAGTGCATGAGCATATACAAGGCTAAAGAAATCTGTAAAAGTGTTTGCCACAGCTGAGGTTGGACAAGGCGCAACACTTAAGAAGACTCTGAGGCAGAGATTACTATCACTGTCGTAAAGAAAGTTGGTGACAGAGTTCCAAAGAGGTACTGGGGCTCTTGCATTGTCATCTTACAAGGCTTGGGCAAAAGAAATTTCCTGATGACTCTTCAATGAGCAAGGACAACTTATTACTAATTTAACCTCGTTAATAAATGACAACCTCATGTCAAACGCAACTCTTTACACAGTAAGAACAAGGAAAGCAAGACACTTGCACTGATTTCTTTAGTCCCAAAGCAGGGACTGCTGAACAAGCCTACATAATTGCTAATTTTTCGAAATGTCAAAAAAAAAAAAAAAACCACCTTTTTACTGTTATGCTTTTTAACCAATTATGCTGTGATCTGATGTTGAAACAGGCCTATATATATTTTTTTTTTTTGAAACAGGCTTAATTTAAGAAGAGATGTGCAATAATTTTCTAATAGATATAATACATTGGTTCCAAATTATCATATTGTTATTTTTTAAAATGCTATACATTATTTTACTGGATAAAATAATAAATAAAAATAAATCACAGAAAGAAACAAGAATTGCCTAGACACACGGACGGATTTCCCAATCCTCACATCTGTGTTTGCACTAGAGCGTGCGCACGCACACACACACACACACACCCCTACCACAGGCCTATCAGGAGAGTACATACCAGGAGCTTAAAGTTAGGGTTCTAAGAGTGGAAACTCTGCCATTACAGATCCCAAGTTTTGGAAAACATGTCATTAATAATTAGGTGTATCACATGACCCAGAAGGGCTATTTCAGGTTTCCTTGAGATAATTATAAAAGTATGTATGTAAATAAAAAGCTACAGACTGCATAAACACCCATGGTTAATGAAATTAAACTATACATGCCCATACCAAGTAATTAGAAAGCAACACGAAAGAACACTAGAAGTAATGAGAGCTGAACAAATCACACAAAGAAGTTTCACTATTTAAGCTTGCACACTTTATCATTAGTTTGCGGTCTCTGTCTTAACGTAGGAAAATTTTATCCCTCTTTGAAGACTGTAAGATTGCATATCATTAGATTAATTGCTAATCATTTCTTAATAAAACAGGGAGAACATGTGTAACATTACAGAAATATGTTCAAGTTATATTAAAAAATCAACAAGGCCAAAAGATGAGGCTTTGAAAATCAGACAAGCAGTTGGCTGCTAACACAGCACCAAAACAAAGTCTTTCAGAACAAAACAGTTTATTCTCCTGAAATTCATGAAAATTCTTTACAACAGTTCCACTTTCAAGTTCCCATAAGTGATAACAAGCTCCATGCAAGTCACAAAGCATTAAATCATACTAAATGGACTGATTTCTGCTTTGCCTGGCACAGTAGTCTACTAGCAATATTGTTTAAATGGCCCCTGCAATGTGCCCCAGTCAGCTCTGGCGTAAGCCATGGGAGGTAGTGCGGGGGATGGGGGAGCTCCATGATGCCTGGGGAAGGGGATCTGTGGGGCAAATCAGAACAGGGGCCACTGAGGGCTAGTTCGATATGTACGGAATAACTTCTAGGTGTTTCCACGTTCCAGGTCATTGTAACTGCAGGTAATCCAAGGAGCTGAGATGGAGGTGAATAAGCAAAGGGAATCTGGAAGGCCTACATGGATCAAATCAAGGCTCTGAGGAATGACAGCTGATACTGGGGGTGGGCAAGCCAGGCTAGCTGTAGCACCCATTGGCACTGAAAACTGTGTTTGGAGTTGAGTCTGGTAGAGGTTCCTTGTGGTTGCCCAAACTAGGCTGGGCTTGGCTGCAGCACCTGTCGGTGCATAGGGTGGGTCCAGTAGGGGATCTTTGAGGATGCCCCTGCTGAACTGTGGCAGCTACCAGTACACTCAACAGATGGTGGGGGCAGGCCAGGCCAGGCAAGTCTACAGTACCCATGGACACAAGCAAGAGCCTGAGTTAGGGTGGACCAGGCAGGGTCACATAATTTGTTGGCACGTGTGAGAACTGGGGTTAGGGCAAGCCTAGGAGGAGCCTGTTAGAATGCATAAGTCAGAGCCAGGCTAGGGGTAGGCATGGTAGAGGTTACTTGGGGCAGCCTGGACAAGACTACAGCAGTTGGAAGCAGGTCAGCCTGGGAAAAACTGCAAACAAAAGTTGGGGCTGGGGGCAGGCCAGGTAGGGGTTCTTCGCCCTCCCACAAGTCCCTGATTAGGCCATAGCACCTGATGGTTTGCATGAGAACTAAAGCTGGGTATGGAACTGACCAGGCAGCTGCACCCACTGGCATATGCATTGGATGGTACAAAAAGGAGACTGAACTTGACACGGACCAACTGGTGCACAGCAAAGCCAGGTCTGAGGGACCTCCCCACTGCCCAAGGTGAGGTTTCTTAGGGGGCTCCCCAATGCACTGATGTGTTTGATCCCTGACCTCAGGAAAAATCAGAGACATGTAGCCTGAACTTGGAGCTACCTCGATTTCTGACTCCCATGTAAGAACAGAGAGCATGCCAAGGTGCACATGAAAGACAAACAGCTAGCTCAGCTAAGTCAACAGAGGACTTTGAGTATCTCATTAGAAGATGGAAAGCAAGACATACAGAACAATACTGCAGGCTAGGCTCTACCACAAGTGCTTAGGTCTGTGGCACACTGTGGTAGACATGATCAGTCAAAGACCTCAGAAGGAAATTCTAACCTCTGGTGCAAAGTCAACAGCTCAGAATAATTAAGAACCACTCAAGTAGTATTATCAGAATACCCTTCCCCACATCAGTATCTCCAAGATGACATCTCTGAGCACTGATGTAATTTGACAACAAGGAGCAGCACACTCCCCAACCCCGCCCAACACAGGAACACAAGAGAAAAAATACTGAAGTGTATGTTTCATTCACCTTCCCCTCATTCTGATCCTCTTCACCTAATTGGAGGCCTACATGGATCCACGATCCCCTCACTCATGTAATCAATATTAAACTAACAAACAAAACATTTGGATGGAGAAAAAAAAAATCTTTTAAAAATGCCCTAGCTATACTTTTTAGAGACATGGGAAGAAGGCAAAGTATTCACATTTTAAATTAAAAAATTCATCTCAAGATGTTTTGACATCTCAAAGAAACTCTTCTGGGTAGAGGAGACACTGCCTCTCCCAGGGGCTGTTGTTTCTTAGCAAAGGCCTCAACCAAAAGCATGTCTGTGACATGAAAAGCAATCCAAAGGCAGGTTTCTTTCATCAAGCTCTTGATTCAACAGTCCTCTGCTTTAACCATCCCAGCCAGAGGCCATCACTCCAGTCAAGAGCACACTGAAGCTATTCTGATCATTGTTTAGCATTGCTTTGCCTTTCTGCAGGAAACCTCAGTAAGGGTGGCAGCCTCAACCTCTCCCTCCCTCCCTACTACCTCCTAACTTCCACACTGCCTTTTCCAGGTGGCCCTGCAAGGCTTGCCAGGCCTCTTGTTTCCGGATCTGTTCCTGAGCCTCCTCTGTCCCCTCACCTGACTGACCATTTCATAAAAGAATATGGATCAGTATCCAGAGGCTGTAGGGTAAAGAGAACACACCAAGACATAATTCAGGAAAAATTAGAACAGAGATTTTATGATGTAAATGCAAGGAAGCTTTCAAAATAAAGTTAATGAGTCCAATAGGAGAAGAGGGTATAAGGAAGCCAACAGTACACAACAGCCATTCTTGGAAAGCAAAAATACTGAAGCTGAGCAGAGTAAAGGAGAGGGAAAACAGAGGCACATATCTCAGCTGGAAGTGGAGATCCTGAGCCGGAATCAAAGTGCCTGGAATAACAGGCGCTGAAATGAAAGTACACTGGGGAGGGTGGCTTAACCAAGAAGACTAACACAGGATAAATAAGTGAGGAATCCTGTAAAACATCTAAGAAACATGATCTAAAAAGACATTCGGAAATGTCCCAGGCCACAGATAAAGATACAATAATTTTGTGAATGAGTAGTACTACTGTTGACTGACTCTCAAAGCTCCAAGACATTGTAAGTGAACTGCTCAAGATGGCACAGCTAGTTCATGAACGAGTTAAGCTGCAGGAACCGGATGCCCTTGATTCTGTGTAATTACTTATGGAAAAGTGATAGTTATACCAGGAAAGCCAAAATGTTGATCAATGAATGACGGGTACAGACAAGCAGGTTAAAGACAAGGTGTCGCCTACATTAGGAGACTTACATAAAGAGCCAGTAAAGCAATAGTTTGAAAACAAAGACTAGTGTTTCAGGAGCCAGGGAAGTGAGCTGGATAGTTTAATTCAGGAAAACCACAGACTAGATGATTGGAACATTGATAAAGAAATCAAATCAAAATCAAGTGCTGTAGTAGTAGCAAGATTATTAATGGAAAAAAAGTAACAGAAACACCAACTCAGTTCTTTTAAAGGAATCATTTAACTTACAAATGTCTGGTAAGAGGAATATGAACAAAACAAAGCAGAAAGCAAACAACTAAAGAACTTAAAGCATAAACTTAATCAGTATATATTTTTAATAAAAATTCTAGGAATAGGAATCTGCTGGATTAAAAAATAAGCATTAAAAAATAAACATCAGAATCTACCTAAAAATTATCTTTATATAACCCAAATTTTAAAAATTCTCAATTTTATGGCAGGACTTAAAACAATGACATAGGGCAGGGTTTGTGTTGTGGTGCAGTTGACATTCAGCTGCTGTACCAATGAAGAGTAAGCTCTAATCCCACTGCCCTGCTTCCCTTG